AACAGGGACATCTGAACACTCTGATTTGGAGTGATTCGTGCATGTTTGAGTTATCTTAATTCGCTTATGTTCAAGACGCCATTTTGTCGATCTACCACCATTTTCGGCTCCACTGGTGCACGCCCGCTGTAAAGTACTCACTTCCTTCTCCAGTTTTATGTTTGAATCGGTGATTCACGTTGGATTCGGTAGAGTTGTGCAGTCATGTGACACTTCGCTGTCATGACGTTTAAGACTGCGTCAGCTCCCACTGGACACCACAGTTTTCTAACGCAGAAGTCAGCGCACTTGTTTCTTTTCTTAAGTGGTTTTAGATTAATATCGATATAAAATGTCCAAATGATAACATCCTGAGAGGATCAGAGGTTTGAAGTACACAGCAGACACACACAAAGAGTATAGATCTGATTTAAATACAGTTTTGATCTGCCCATGAAACAGTGAGGGACTCAGAACCTTTAGCACCAACACATGTGGGGCCAGCTGCTGATGCTATTCTTACTCACAGGCTCTAGAGCGCCCCCCGGAGGATTCTATAAATACTGAACATGTGTGTGAACATGTGTGTGGACAGGTGGAGTTTAAATATGACACAAAGAATACACTGTCCTGGTCCATACACAAGGACGGAGCCGAGGGGGAGGGGCCGACAGCTGTGGAGAGGACACCACAATGAGCTGTGTGTGCAGGCAGGGCATCTGACACAACTGCACCAAGGACACAGAGAGGAAATGGCTTTTGAACCTTTTACATTTCGATATCCTACATTAGGCTGAGGCCACATGACAAAAAAGAATCCATGCCGCCATGTTGACTGATTCTGATTGGCTGATTGGCTCCATTAAAGTGATTGTATGTCTCATACAATTTTAGGTTTTCGAGTGGCATCACGTGAACTTCTACCTGAAGTAATAATTATGTGTGCTTCTGATGTAACATGTAGTTCAGTTAAATCTGAAATTGACTTTTTAGATCTTTTAACCAGTAGTAGTTTCTTCTCACTGACCTCTGAAGTTGTATTTGCAGTGATTCGTGCATGTTTGAGGAATCTTTAAGTGCTTATTTTCAAGACGCCATTTTGCCTATCTACCTCTGTTTTCAGCTCCACTCGTACACGCCCACTGAGACGTACACACTTCCTTCTCCAGTTTGATGTTCTTCATGGGTGATACTCATAGGAATGAGCAATGTCGCATCTTCATTTTGGTCCAAATGTAAAAAAATAAATAAAAATTCTGCTCTAGTGTGATGTGCAGCTCTCCACAGGAAGGGCCTACAGTCTGGTTTAGTCCTGGTTTGGTTCTGTCCTTAGGAGGGGTCCATGCGGCGCTTTGTTGTCATGACGTTTGCAGCCACGTCAGCTCTCACTGGACACCAGTTTTCTAAAGCAGAAGTCAGTGGACCTGTTTCATTTATAAGCAGTAACATTTTGATGGAAATGTTACTGTTTTGCCTGAAATATTCCACAGTATGGCATTTAGGCCAGCCCTAAATGCAACTAAATAAATGCAACATACACTCAGGAGGTTTAATGCCATATAGTGGAACATTCCAGGAAAAAAAAAAAAAAAAATCACATCTCTATGTAGACAAGTGAGAAGAATTGACGCAAGAATTGTGCGTGTGTGTCTGTGTGTGTGTGTGTGTGTGTGTGTGTATAGAGGAAGTGTGCTGTGATTTTGCACAAGAGCAGAAGTGTTTCTATTTTTAGTTTTCTTCTAAATCTGTCTCTGATGTTGATCAGCTGTTCCACGTCTCTGTTTACCAGCCTGATTTACAGCATATTTCACTGTGACATCCACTGGCAGGCTAATGTGCATCTGCTGTTTCCCGCTGTGCCAGATGCCCTCGCAAGTTTGTTTGTAGAGCACAATTCATACAAGTGTTGAAAGAAACACAATCACCTCACACACAAACCAATCAAACACAATCATCCTAAATGTAACAGAGAAGAGTGCAGGACTAAACCAGGACTAACCCAGGACTAAACCAGGACTAACCCAGGACTAAACCAGGACTAAACCAGGACAAACAGAGTTTAAGTTTTAGTCAGAACCGGAGCCACAGCATCCTCCCATTCTCCTGTATCCCTGTGTGTCAGATGCCCTCCCAGATGTTGTGATGTGGTTTGATCAATACCCTGTCACTGATAAGATTGATCAGGGAAAAACAAACAAACAAACTAACTAAAACATTTCTATATTTTATATTCTAGTATTGATACTCAGTACTGATTGTGATACCATTATGATAATAAGAACACTCCTTCTTTAAACAGTATACTGTGATTTTCCACATTAAATGGTAGAACTTTCTTTTCTATTCTACGTGTGTTATATGTGTGTAATGGTCAGTGGTGCAGTAGGTTCGTGTTGGTCCATGTGTGTATACTAGTCTATGTGCTCTGACATTTGTTCTGATACATCTCAACATCATTCTAAAGACATTCAGGAAAGGTTCATTTCTGTCCTGTCAATGGGACTTTTTTATTATTATGGGTACCTTCTCAAATGAGTATCTAGTTTCAATACTAGTTTTAGTATCGGTTAATATCAGATTTTCGATACTTTTGACAGCCCTGAAAATACCAGAGAATGACACAAACACAGCCTGTGCCCCACACGTTTTGTCTGGATCTATTGATCACAGTTAGATTCATGTCTCTTCTTACACAAAAGCCACACTACGGTTTGTTTTTCCCACGCTGTGTCTTTACAGTGAAACCACAGTGTTGTTGCCGTAGGCAACGGACCCCAGTGAGTCATGTGGCCTGGGGCTGGGATGATCATGTGACGTGGAGACGCTGCGTCACGTTTGAGTTCGGAGGGTTTTGGTCTCAGGCTCAGTTCGGAGGTTGTGGGTTAGACTCCTGATTTGACACTGAAAGACTGGACTTAATCAGGACGTTTCTAATGCCATTTACAAACCCAGTCCCAGACTAAACCAGGACCAGGACTAAAACCAAACTAACTCATCATTAAACCAGAAACGTTCCAATAACTGAAATATCCTGATATCGTATTGTAAAGTCTCACAATATTATCAAGAGCCATCACAATATAGTGACAGTATAGTTACAACTTCAACAAATTCATTGTTATTATGCAGTGAGCACTAAAAACACAGGGAACTACATAGACCATGATCCTTTGCTGTTTCACTGCAGACTGCATGAAGAAATAAATGAAGCACTTTTATGATATTATGACTGAACCAAAGTCTTATCAAGGTATTTAAAAAAAAAAAAAAAAAAAAAAAAAAAGCTGCATATTCACAGTTCTGGACTTAATCAAGCTGGAGCTGGACTGAACCAGGACAAAAGCCAAAGAAACTCAGACTAAACCAGTATTAAATCAGGACTTACTGTGATCAAGACTAAACCAAGAACAAACCTCTTACCCACCCTCATCTACTCCAGATGCCCTCCCTGTACATGAGTCAGTATTTTTCCAGCGTGTCCCTCAGGTTCAGCTCTGTGTCTTTTGTCTCTTTTGTCTCTTTGGACGTTCTTCAGACAGTTTCAGCGTGTAGAGTTTCATTTGAATCGCGCTCATGTTCACAAATGCCGCAGCTTTGTCCCCAAACAAAACAAACAAAACCAAACAAACTGTGGAAAGTTTTCAGTGTGTGACCCACTTTTACTGTCCCTTACACGTCACGATGACCCAGGACCTAAAGGTGCACTGTGGAACTTTTCTGCTGAGGGTCTCCATGGAGATGTAAATGTTTGCCACTGTACATCAATGCATGTTTCTTCAGACAAACAGCTGGCGTCAAAAGGCCAAGTTACATATTAGATCTGTGGAGAGGTGAGCCCACCCACTGTAAATACATCTGTAACAGGGCTGGGCCATTTTGTCATTTTTGAAAGAGAGAGAGAGAGAGAGAGAGAGAGAGAGAGAGAGAGAGATTTGATGCTCACAGAAACCTGGTTAAATGTAGTTGTGTACTGTAAATAGAAAAGGCCTAAGCTCAGTATAAAGCTAAAAGCAGCTCAAGTGTCTGATGTTACTTGTAGAGTTGGGGAAGTGCTCATATTGAACCCATGGGCCACTGGGGAAATCTGTCTTTATTTTATGAATGAGATAAAACAATCTCACCCTAACATTGCTGGGGCATGTCACATTTTCACTGATTTCAGATCAGTCTGAGTCGTGCTTTGCTGAACTCTTTTGTGTGAGGCACATGGAGGAAGAGCACCTTCAAACTCTGCTCCTGGGACTGCAGTGAGCAGATACATTTTTTCCAAGGCCTAATTTCTAATAACATACATTTACACATGTACACATGTACACATGTACACATGTACATGTACACACATACACATGTACACATGTACACATGTACACATGTACATGTACACACATACACATGTACACATGTACACATGTACATGTACACACATACACATGTACACATGTACACATGTACATGTACACACATACACATGTACACATGTACATGTACACACGTACACATGTACACATGTACACATACACATGTACACATGTACATGTACACATACACATGTACACATGTACACATGTACACATGTACACATGTACACATGTACACATGTACACATGTACACATGTACACATGTACATGTACACACATACACATGTACACATGTACACATGTACACATGTACATGTACACACTTACACATGTACACATACACATGTACACATGTACACATGTACACACACATGTACACATGTACACATGTACACACGTACACATGTACACATGTACACACGTACACACGTACACATGTACACATGTACACATACACACGTACACATATACACATGTACACATGTACACATGTACACATGTACACATATACACATGACACACGTACACATATACACATGTACACATTCACACGTACACATATACACATGAACACATGTACACATGTACACATATACACATGTACACATGTACACATGTGTAAAGTTCAAATACAGAATGATGCTGAGTCTTTGCTCTCATAGATGCAGTCTTAGCTGAGCTCCGCTGGACGGTCTGGACAGGCCCATGGACCTGCGAGTGTCCCCCAGATCAGTGCAGTGTAATCGGGGAGTGAACATGCACTCTCCCCCTGCCCCCTCTGTGCTGCTGGGACACTTGAGCACACACTGCCCCCTCAAGCAGCAACACCTGAAGGTAACAGGGGCGTGTTAAAGGCGCTCTGCCTCATTTGTAGTGACTTAAAAACTCATACAGTGCTTTTTCATCTCCAAGGCTCAAAGCTCTTCACATGAATCAACCACTCTCCCATTCACACACGCACATACACACATTCGCACATTCACACACCACTGTACACACACTAGTTGACATTTGGCACTTTATCGCTAAAAATGAAAAATACTAAACATATTCAGACAGTGTTGAGGCAGTCCATCTGAAATGTGCTGCAGCGTGTGTTTAGATGGAGCTGTACACTGAGTGTGTCTTGAGTCATCTCTGTTAGTGACTGTTCCCTACACACACAAACTGTGTATTTGATCATTTCAGTTCAACTCAGAAATGGAGCCCGACACAACAGATGAGATCCTGCGCAGAAACAGAAGCGAGCAGAGTAAGTCAAGCTTAAAGCTACACTGGAGCTTTTTTGAAGAATTTGTTGGGATAACACCTGTTGGAAATAAAAAATATTGTTGTACATCAACCAAGAAGCAGTTTGTGAAAAAAAATGAAAATGTATTAGACATTTTTAGAGAGTCCCACACTGACGACATCACACTGGGAAAATTCTGTCCAAAAGTTTGGTACAATTTATACAAGACTTTAAACATGATTTCAACAAATAAAGGTGTTATTATTTTATTTGTAATATAATCATTTCTAAAATAATAAGGAGTTTTGACTAGGTAACGGTTAGTGTGATATCATGAAGTAAAGTTTGAAATCTAAAAAATGGCCAAACAGAGAAAACCTGTTTTTGTAAAATCTTAAAATGATGTTGAAGTGTGTTTAAGAAAAATGGTAAAATAGACCAGCCTGTGTTTGGTTTGTGCAGGTGCAGATGTGAAGAAGATCCTGAGGGAGCACATCATGAGCCGACACCCCCCACAGGAGAGAGCACCCCCTGTGGCCAGCGCAGGCTTCAGGTGAAAAAATTCATTCACTGCAAGGACACTGTACTTTTGAGTCCTGGGGCATTCCTGTGTGGAGTTTGCATGTTCTCCCTGTGTTGTTGAATGGCTATTAAAGGTGCTATAACTGTTTTTTACTGCATTAAAAACTCGAAAAACAGAACTAGTTCATTTTAAACAGTTTGCAGTGGTCCAGGAGCATCCTAATTATTCACCACGATGAGTTTATAAAAGTTTTTTACAGCTCTCAGACCAGTACCACTGCTAACAACAACTAGCATCCTAACAGCATAGCAGCATTACTTCCTGGTTCACAGACGATAAGGATGTGTTGTAATTAGATGCAGACACTACGCAGAGAGAAAAACATCCTCCAGCTATGTACTCGAGCTGAATTCTTTGCAGCTGTAATTACAATTAGATTTGTAATTCTTCTGTAATCATAATAACAGGATTCTGTTCAAAGTTCACATTTTAAACACGTCCAGGAGAATTGACAAAAAGACTGAAATCTGAATTGACAAACTAATACAAGAATCACATTTCAGAACATGTTCATGCAGAGCTAAACTACAGTGGTGTTTTTTATGCAGAATAAGACAGGAGATTTAGTTGTTTGTGGAGGAAATGATGGTGCTTCAGAGTATGCAGCCTTTGTTTGCGTGTCCATTCAAAGAAAGATTTTGATTCAATGGCACTTCATCTTGCAGATCTACTAGATCCCCCCTGGTCAGGATCCTGGCGAAGCTCTGCTCTGGGTTACAAAAAAACATTTGTTGTACCTAAAATTATTTGTCCTTTGCATTTGATCCATCCTTTAGTGATGGGGTTAAATCTGTCAGAAGCAGTGGACCCAGAGAATCTAGTTGGAGGATTACACTGGTTGATAGAGAAAAATACACAAAGTCATAGGGAGAACATGCAAACTTGACTGGGAATAAACCTTCATGCTGTGAGGGGAGAGGGCCAACTCTGCAACCTTAACTCAAGCAGGAGTCTTGTGTAAAAGAGAAATGACATAGTTTAATATTGCTGTGTGCAGAGTGCCAATGTCAGAGGCTCTGTCTCCTCAAACCTCCACTGACTCCAAGAAGGCGCTGCGCAGAACAGGTGAGTGTGGCCAGTCAACACTACACACAAGACTTTAAAAGGCCTAAGGTCTGGAACTGTAACCACAAATTCTGATGGTCTTTGCTGACAGGTGGATTAACCAATCAGAGAATTGCACAGTCCATTTGTGGTACAAATGTAGGGGTATCAACAGTACTGAAAATCAGATACTAAAACATAGTATCAAAACTATTTTATTATCATTGTGATATTGTAATCGGTATTGAGGATATTTCTTGGTATCAAAATTGAGTTAGAAATTTTAGTATCTTGACAATCTTGATTCTTTACAGTGAAAAAAGGTTGAACATTTTTGGAATTTTAGAAGCTGCCAGTGACTGAAAAGGACTAAACACAAAGTGAGTTACATAATTGTGAATGAGCCTTGTCTGCAGCTGTTTCACAAACTCAAACCTGTTCTACATAGACACGCCTGCTTCTGTTTATATAAGCACATTTTTCATTCATCTCATTTTAAAACCGAGGATCAACCAAAGGACCTGAACTAACAAGAGCACTATGGATTTATTACAATGATAACTTTCTATTCTTCTGTCTGTAATGCATCAGAAGTCTCCGGTGAGCTACTTTGACAAAACCAAAGAGCCTGAGAGCCATTGGTGGAGTGAGAAAATTGGGGGCCCTAGATGAACTTAAGTTTGGGGCCCTCACTATAATTTTTTAAAATATATATTCATTGTCTGTTTTTCCCCATTGTTCGTGAGATATACACATCTCTGTTTATTTGAATTATAGTGGATTGGAAAATTGTCAAAAATTACATTTTTGTTTACGTCCATTATTATTATTATTATTATTATTATTATTATTATTATTATTATTATTATCATTTTTCTTATGTTTATTGTTTAAAAGCAAACTACTCTCATTTAATATCATTTTGAGGGAAAATTGCTCTGAGACCTTGGTCATTAGTGGCACTGAGGGAAATTGCATGGGGCCCCTCCAGGTTTGGGGGCCCTAGGTAGCTGCCTTCTTTTGCCTAATGGTAGCGCTGCCTCTGCTGAGAGCAAGGCTAGAGTAAATATAAGAGCCACATCCAGATGGGTACAGTTAGATGTCTGCAGTCAGGCATCAACATGACACATTTACAGAGGAAATTAAAGCATCTCCTGAGCTACAAGCCGGAGACCCCTGTTCTGTTTTAGAAGCTCTGAACTGTAATAACCTTTTACATACACTACCGCCTGACCATGTTTGTGGTGGAGATTGCCATCAATAAAAAGTCTCCTCAAAGAACTTTTCTTAGTAGTTACTCCAGGGCAGCAGTGGCTAATGTGTCCTCTGCATTTGACCTGCCCTTCAGTTTCTCTGGGTTAAACCTGTGAGGAGCAGTGGGCCCACCTCCAGATCTTGAGCGAGTCTCGGTCAGGACTCCCTCAGCTGGAGCATTTAACCTGTGGTGCGTGTTTTGGGTTGATGGTGGGACCTCTGAGCCCCTGTGCCCTGGCCTCATGTTCATTCAGTCTTTTGTGCTGACACAGTCCTCTTATTTTGAATGAATGGGTCATTTGTTGTTTGTTTGTTTGTTTTGTGTGTTCAGTGTCGGAGCCCACTCTGAAGTGGAAGCCGAGGAAGATGATGGGAGCTCGGCCCAACCCTCTGCAGAGGAAGATCAGTGCGCCCCCTGATGTCAGACATCGGAGTGACACAGGAGCAGGTGCATCACAACAATACACTTTAGTCTGAACTATCAGTAATAATAATAATAATAATAATAATACTAATACTACTACTACTACTAATAATAATAATAATAATAATAATAATAATAATGATAATAATAATAATAATGTATTGGATTTATATTGAAGCTGAAATCTCTAGTGTGATGCTAACTGTAGGCATACTCTGTCTGAGATTTTGTTAGACTGAACTTTATTTGAACTTTATCCCACCATAAAGAACTGAATGAGTTGAAAGTAGAGCAGGTGAGCTGATTTGTGCTCTTCATCAAGCTCATGGCACCTTTTCGTTGGAAGTCAAACTTCAAAACAGGACCTTGGATGCTCTGATGAATCACTTCTGAAAACGTGTTGTTTAAATCCATTTTGTATTTTTTCTTGAGTTTTCAGATCTTAAAGCTTTTGGCCATGTGTGAATTGTGTTACTGTGGTAATTGCTGAACATTCTGGCTTAAACATACATGTAGAACACCTCCAGCGGGATGTCACTGTAAAGTATCAGTAGCACCTTTCAAGACACCCACTGTACTTTGTACTATTCCTTCACTCCACACTCTGTGGTGGTAAGATCCTATTGTAGCCACAGCTGCCCTGGGGCAGACTGACAGAAATGAGGCTGCCAATCTGCACCATTGACCCCTCCGACCATCAACAGAGGGGTTAATGGTTCATGGCATTGTAAGTGAAGTGTCTTGCCTAAAAGAACAAAATAACAAAACTTGGTCTGAGTGGGAATCGCTCCTCTAACCACTGTTGCCGTATTGTGAGCATAATCTTTGTAAACAAGTGGACTGAGTGAGTGTGACGTCACCCACAGTGTTCAGCTCCACTCAGATGAAGCTCGTGATGTTCAAATCAGGGCTGGGTAATTTTTTTTTTTTTCATGGGGTCACATGAGAAACAGAAAATATTGTGGAGGGCAAAAATGCTTAGCTCAATTCTGTATAATATTCTTTGTACGCACACATCTTGATTTACATGTTGCGTCATTTTGTACGTGAATAAAAAACACAAAATAAAAGCAAATGCAGCTTAAGTCCATGCATAAGGTAAAATTATAAAATATGTTTATTTTATCATTCCAAATGATCTTAAACGGGCCAGTCAGAGTCAACCAAAGGGCCGAATGCTGGACAATACCTAGGTCTGCTCTGTATTATTTTGAGTATGATTTTTTAAATGGACAAAATAGAGAAATAAAAGCCCCAGAATCAGGTAGAGCAGGTTAATATGAAATTCAACTGTACAGAGACGGTAGAGTGTATAAAGATGATAGACACATCAGTTACATCCACATGACAGTGTGGACAGTCTTCTACTGTTTCATATTTACACACATATCTCCTCTGTCCAGACTCTCCCTGTAGCAGCGCTCCAGTGTCTGAGAGCAGCTCATGTGACAGCCTCCTGACTGACAGCGCCACCTCTCTGATACAGGAGGTACTGCACCATCATCCTCACACCCACACACCCACACACACACACGCACACACACACACACACACACACACACACACACACACACACACACACACACACACCCTGCTCAGGTCAGTACTGCTGAATATACTGTGTACTACTATTATTACTATACCACTACAGTGCTACTACTACTACTGCCACTTCTACTACAGCTGCTACCTACCCTGAAACTAGTCCAGGACTAAATCAAGACTAAACCAGAACTAAATCAGGACCAAACAGGACTAAACCAGGACCCAGCCTCAGACCTGTGTTTAGTGTGTGTGAGGACTTTCATTTCCTCTATCCTTGTTGCGTCCTCACATTTTGTCTGTGGTATAACACATGATATTTCTGACACTTCTGCAAAATACATATATAAAACTTAGAATGTTGCCAACCCCATGTGACCTGCTTTAGATCAGGTTTACACATTCAAAGATTTAAAAATAAACCAAGTCTAATACAGGCCTACATCCAGGGCCGGCTCTAGCCCATTGTCCGCCCTAGGTGAGTTTGAAGTCCCCCCCCCTTTCACTGTAGTTCAGTACCGTAGCTCCCCATTACACTCACTATGCAAAAATCACGTTAAAAAGTTTTAATAAAATATGTTGTTTACACACAAAACTATCTCTGAATCTTCAGGCCACATGTCCAAATGTACCACATGCAGCGGCATGAGGGGCTCTAGGGTAGGGGTGTGTAAAACGCACCTTTGCAAATATTACTCCCGGTATATGAGCCATTGGACCAGAGATTCATTGTATAAAATAAACAGATTATTTGTCTGTCAACACAGCAGATGCACTGCAAACTGCCGTCTGCCACTGTCTGCTGAACATGCACACAAAAATCCACATAACCAACTTTTTTATTAAAGAAAAAAAAAAAGTATTTCGACTATTTTAGTGCAAATTATGTGATTATTTTCAAATTTTTAATAATACTTGACAAAATTAAAATACTGTATCGACTTATAAACTTTATAACTGCAATGCTTCATGGGAAAGTGTTTTTCAGGACTAGCTAGTGACAGGAGTTATTTTCGGTCAGTGGATTAGGACCATGAGTGAGGCAGAAGTGTTTGAGACATAAGGCTGCACTGTTTCTCTTTACCATGGTGCTTGGTAAAGCTGAAAGGTGCGTGAACCTGATGTAACAAAGCCTTTGTACAGTGTCATACTGTGTCATGGAGCAGTTTTTTTTTTTTTTTTGGGGGGGTTGGGCTTGTTAACATTTGGGTGAGCCCAGGCTCGTACAAGTGGGTGTTACAAATGCACAAATGCACATTTCGGGTCAGTGGAAGATGAAGAGTGCGGGTGGGTGCTGCCTTGGTTGTACAGATTGGCGTTCCAGGTTATGTGTTACATTATGTTTAAGCAAATTCTAGTTTAGGTAGGTAGGCTAAAGAAAATATGGTGATGCCCACTAATAGATGGCGCCCCAGACACATGTGGCGAGCCCCTTATCTGCCTGTATGAAGCACTGGGCCTGCCTACATCCAGAATAAATTAGGTCTAAACCAGGACTAGTCTAGGCCTAAACCAGGCTAAACCAGGTCCATGTGTTCTCTTTTCCAGACTGGACCCCCCTCTCTCCCTCACTTCTCTCCCCTGTTCAGGCCTCTGGACCTGGGTACAGCTCTGAGCCAGCGCCTGCAGCCGGTCCTGGTCCTGGATCAAAGCACTGGACTCCTCCATCACCAGCTTATGGCCTGTGAGTACTGCAAGGACAATGAATATATCCAGCTTTAAATACAGCAACTAATACTTTTACTAGTACTAGTACTACCAATGACAGTTGTAGTTGTTAGATTAGTAGTAGTAATAGTAGTAGTAGTAGTAGTAGTTTCTACTACTGTTTATTGTGTGTTGATACCACCTTGAGAATGTCTGGTCTCAGTTGAGCTCAGAAGCTCTGTCGGACTGGGGCTGGGTAGTACTTCGATGGGAGACCACTGGGAATATCAGGTGCCACTGTTGTTGTGTCCTTAAGCAAGACTCTTCACCCATATTGCCTAGTATGAATGTGGTGTGTGAACTGATGTTGGTTTGAGGGGTCGATGGTGCAGATGTCTGCCTCGTGTCCTCCAGTCTGTCCCTGGGCAGCTGTGGCTACACATGTAGCTTGGAGTGCATGAATAATGCAGTGTTTAAAACTTTGGGTGTCTTGAAGGATTCTATATAATCCCAAAGTATTATACACATACCTTATCTTTATAGAATGAAACCACAGTAATACTTATATACTGATTATGTCTCATCAGGATTACTAGTACTAGATCCCCCTCTAGTGGCTAAAGCTTGAACATGGCCAAAATCACCTGTTAAGAAAATATGATTTAGGAGGAATTCTTCACCATTATTGATTATTATTATTATTTTCATTGTGAGTTTCTGTGCTCTTTTCCTTTTCTCTGCAGTACCAGACCTGAGCTCGGTGCCTGTGCCTCCACAGCGCCCCCTGTCTGCTCTCAGAGGCAGAGATGGTGTTACACTGGGCTCCCACAGACCTGTAAAGAGAACCCGATCTGAGCCCACACCATACTCCCCCTCCCCTCTACTCCTCCCCCCTCTCTCACCCACACTCCCCCCTCCTCCTCCCCCCTGGACCCGCCCCATCCCAGAACCTCTGGACCAGGTCTGGACTGGACCGATATAAGTCCAACACTCCACTCAGCAAGGTGAGTCCTAACTTATTGTTCATATGTGTTATTGTTTTTGGTCAGTATTTATCGTAGGTACTTTTTCTGTGTACTAGTTTATGTTACATTTTTGTATGAAAAGTGCTTTATAAATAATGTTTGATTTGATTTGATTACATAGACTGTGTAGACTATCCATGGACTGGATGGACAAAGCTAGCATGCTATCTGCGACCTTGATGAGCTTCACTTGGCTGGAGCTGATCAAAGTACAATACTATAACAGTTGTTTAAATATGGAACATATTCATCACATTAAAATGATAAAGAATAATATCCATAACATGTTGAATCATTATCCTGACAATGGTTCATCACAGTTATTTTGGCCATGATGATGTGAGAGCAGATTTCAGATGTGCATTCTCTTTTGGACACACTGTTTCTAGCTGCTGAGAATTCACCTCATCCTTCACAACCAAGACCTCTCACTCTGTTTTCTGTCTCTGCTCAGATCCCTTCAGAGGACTCAGACTTGGATGAGACCAGATCTCGGTCTAGCTCTGGTCCTGGCTCAGACCCTGGTTTAGACCCTGGTTCGGTCTATGGGCCAGTCTGTGGGTCAGACCAGAGGCGTAGACCCAGTGTAGACTCAGTCTATGGCTCAGAGTCCAACGCCTCATCCAGAGAGAGTCTACTGGACACTCCCCCCGCCCTCAGCCAGGTGAGCTCAGGGCCAGGACACAGTTAAAGATACACTTTGGAACTTTTCTGGTGGAGGGTCTGCCACTTACTCTAATGCATTCTTACTATGAGTGGGGTCGCCTCTCTGCAGATGTGACCTGTTACTGGATATGTTTAATGCCATACTGTGGACATGTGCAACATAATCTGAATTCAACATCTTTATCTTGGGACGCTGTAACTGCAAAGGGCCTTTTCTCTAAATGCATTTCCCCCACGGCTACAGAATTAATCAAAATAAATAAATGAATAAATAAAAATAAAAAGGTGAAATTTGAATAGGCAAAATTTCAGTCAGATCTATTTAGTAAATAACATATCCACAATCCTCTCTTTATATTTTAGTATCCAATACTGCAACAAAAGGGAGTTTGGTAGTTTTTATACATAAAATGCCATATTTTTATTCGAAAACATCACCTAATGAAAAAAAAAGTAATACATTTTTTTTCACATTTATGTGAGTAAACTACAGGAGAAGTTTCAAATTTAGGATTTCTCTCTTCTCACCTGCAGTGTCTCTCCTTAAAATACTAGTAAAATGTCAAATAGATTTGATCTATTGAGCAGTGGTTCTCAAACTGGGGTACCTGTACCACTGGTGGTGTTCCTCTTAGATCCCTCTGCAGTTCAACTATTCTCTGAAGTCAGGTAAAGCCAGTTTAATGCACATGTTTGTCCTCTTTGGGCCAGTCCTCTTTAGAACCAAACTATCCAATTTAGCCCTAGTTTAGACCTATACTAGTCATGGTTTAGACCTGTTTTAGACCTGGTTTAGACCTGGTTTAGATCTAGTGGTATTCCTTAGGCCAAATATTTTCATAGGTAGTACTTGGTGTCATGTGTTGGTGGAGGCACTAGGGGGCAGTATTGTGCTGTGTAGTCCAGTTAGGGCAGACATGACCTGAGACCCAGGAAATCTTTAAACTTACTCTAAATGTAATTATACTTTTACAATTGGATATTCAAGATTTTTCTCATTCCTGCTTCACACCTGTCAGTCTGTCTCAGTCTGAAAGATGCTGTTTTCAAAGTTAAAGTTGCTTCACATTCCTTCACTTTCCACTTCCTGTTATATGCAACATTTTCACAACTTTTTCCATTCAAAAGGTTCATGTGTTGTTTTAAACTGTTCATTAGACCTGTCCCCATAATGACTGTATCCACTTAGTGTTCAGCATGTGCTACATGAATATATTTTATATGAATATATTTTATATGAATATATGCTATATGATATGTATACTATATGAATATATATGATATGATATATATGCTATGCGATATATTGTTTTTTCAGGCTTCATATTTCTCCTTGGGGTCTTTTCTTGGCACTAGTGGGGACACTGCTCCAAAACTCCACTAAAGTATTATGTGACTAATGGAATTATAAGAAAACACCTGTCATTTTGTTGAAACAATGTTTAAAACACTGTGTGCTTCCTATCATTTTCCAATTTTTTTTTTTATTTTCCTCACAAACTGCCTCAAGTGGTGTAAAAATAGAATTAATTTTTTTAGCACGTATAGTAGAAATGAGAGAATCATCCAACATGCACTTTAATATGAGTGACTTAGGAAAGGTTTTTACTGTGATGCTTTTGCTTTATGGTTATTGTGACAGTGTGATCAGTTCATTTCAACAGAATTGTTTATCGAGATATTTTTGGATGAAATATATCGCACTTCAAAATGTGTTCTGGTCACAGGCCTATTGTTAATCTCTATGGTAACAGTCTTCATTTTTCATCATTGTGACAGCCCTGGATAAATATATTTGTGTATGTTTGTGTGTGCAGAGGCTCCAGAGGCCCATCGCTCCCCAGGACTGTCCTCGAGCCTCGGCCCCGCTCTGGGCTCACCTCCCCCTGGGCAGAACACGCTCACTACCTGCCCCTACCTCCATAAGCCCACATACTACTCCACTCAGATTTACTACAGGTACTACTACTACTACTACTACTACTACTACTACTACTACTACTACTGCTACTACTGCTACTACTACTTCTACTACTACTACTACTACTACTACTACTACTACTGCTACTACTGCTACTACTACTACTGCTACTACTTCTACTTCTACTACTACTACTACTACTACTACTACTGCTACTACTGCTACTACTGCTACTACTACTTCTACTACTACTACTACTACTACTACTACTACTACTACTACTGCTACTACTGCTACTACTACTTCTACTACTACTACTACTACTACTACTACTACTACTGCTACTACTGCTACTACTACTACTGCTACTACTTCTACTTCTACTACTACTACTACTACTACTACTACTGCTACTACTGCTACTACTGCTACTACTACTACTACTACTACTACTACTACTACTACTACTACTACTACTACTTCTACTACTGCTACTACTACTACTGCTACTACTACTTCTACTACTACTACTACTACTACTGCTACTACTGCTACTACTACTACTGCTACTACTACTACTACTACTACTACTACTACTGCTACTACTACTACTACTACTGCTACTACTACTACTACTACTGCTACTACTACTACTACTACTACTACTACTACTACTACTACTACTACTACTACTACTATTCCTACTACTACTACTACTACTATTACTACTATTGCTACTACTACTACTACTACTACTACTACTACTACTACTACTACTACTACTACTACTAAATATCTCAATAAACAATTCTGTTGAAATGAACTACTACTACTATTACTACTACTACTGGTTATCTTCTCTCATCAGGAAGTTGTGGGTTAGACTCCTGATCTCTGGGGTGTGCATGTTCTGTCTGTATTAGTGTGGCAGAGGTTGTGGGTTAGACTCCCTGTGTGTTGCAGGTCTGGTGTACGACGCTCAGATGCAGAGACATGAGTGCAGCTGTGGGGACTGGACTCGTCATCATGAACATCCAGGTCGCACCGAGTCTATCTGGACCCGCCTCACGCAAAGCGGCCTCCGGGGGCACTGTGAGGTACTGCAGCTCTTTTCTACCACCTTTTTCTCTTCTTCTTTCTCTTCTTTTCTTATTCTGTGTCTACTGTCACAATACGAACATATAATAGTAATAATAATAAATAAATAAGACACAGAGGACCACACTACTCACGTGGTGTTAAAAGCCAGAGAGTAAAAGTGCGTCTTAAGACTTAAAACTCTCCTCTGTGGGGTCTGTTTAGACGTGGGGGGGCAGAGAAGACCTTGTCCCCCGTGGTTTTAAGTCTCGTCTTAGGCCCCACGAGCTGAAGCTGGCCTTTGGACCTCGATGCAAGCAGAGGGGGTGTAAATTTGGAGGAGGTCCGAGATGTAACGTGGGGCCAGAACATTCAAAGCTTTAAAAACAAACAATAAAATCTTAAAATCAATTCTAACTCAAACAGAAAGCCAGTGCAAAGATACAAAGTGCGTTTTGAGAGAGTCTGTGTAAAATGTGTTTGGAGAGATGCCCGTGTAAGATGCGTTTTGAGAGATGCCTGTGTAAAATGCATTTTGAGAGATGTCCGTGTAAAGTGCGTTTTGAGAGATGCCCGTGCAAAGTGTGTTTTGAGAGATGTTCGTGTAAAGTGCATTTTGAGAGATGCCCGTGTAAAATGCTTTTTGAGAGATGTCCGTGTAAAGTGCGTTTTGAGAGATGTCCGTGTAAAGTGCGTTTTGAGAGATGTTCGTGTAAAGTGCGTTTTGAGAGATGTCTGTGTAAAGTGCATTTTGAGAGATGCCCATGTAAAGTGCTTTTTGAGAGATGCCCGTGTAAAGTGCTTTTTGAGAGATGTCTGTGTAAAGTACGTTTTGAGAGATGTCTGTGTAAAATGCGTTTTGAGAGATGTTCATGTAAAGTGCGCTTTGAGAGATGTTCATGTAAAGTGCTTTTTGAGAAATGTCTGTGTAAAGTACGTTTTGAGAGATGTCCGTGTAAAATGCGTTTTGAGAGATGTCTGTGTAAAATGCTTTTTGAGAGATGCCTGTGTAAAATGCATTTTGAGAGATGTCTGTGTAAAGTGCGTTTTGAGAGATGCCCGTGCAAAGTGTGTTTTGAGAGATGTCTGTGTAAAGTGCGTTTTGAGAGATGCCCGTGTAAAGTGCATTTTGAGAGATGCCTGTGTAAAATGTGTTTTGAGAGATGCCCGTGTAAGATGCGTTTTGAGAGATACCTGTGTAAAATGCATTTTGAGAGATGTCCATGTAAAGTGCGTTTTGAGAAATGTCCGTGTAAAGTGCGTTTTGAGAGATGTTCGTGTAAAGTGCGTTTTGAGAGATGCCTGTGTAAAGTGCTTTTTGAGAGATGTCCGTGTAAAGTGCGTTTTGAGAGATGCCCGTGCAAAGTGCGTTTTGAGAGATGTTCGTGTAAAGTGCATTTTGAGAGATGTCTGTGTAAAGTGCATTTTGAGAAATGCCCGTGTAAAATGCTTTTTGAGAGATGTCCGTGTAAAGTGCGTTTTGAGAGATGTCCGTGTAAAGTGCGTTTTGAGAGATGTTCGTGTAAAGTGCGTTTTGAGAGATGTTCGTGTAAAGTGCGTTTTGAGAGATGTCTGTGTAAAGTGCGTTTTGAGAGATGTTCGTGTAAAGTGCGTTTTGAGAGATGTTCGTGTAAAGTGCGTTTTGAGAGATGTCTGTGTAAAGTGCGTTTTGAGAGATGTCTGTGTAAAGTACGTTTTGAGAGATGTCTGTGTAAAATGCGTTTTGAGAGATGCCTGTGTAAAATGCGTTTTGAGAGATGTCTGTGTAAAATGCGTTTTGAGAGATGTTCATGTAAAGTGCGCTTTGAGAGCTGTCCGTGTAAAATGCATTTTGAGAGATGTCTGTGTAAAATGCGTTTTGAGAGATGTCCGTGTAAAATGCGTTTTGAGAGATGCCTGTGTAAAATGCATTTTGAGAGATGTCCGTGTAAAGTGCGTTTTGAGAGATGCCTGTGTAAAATGCGTTTTGAGAGATGCCTGTGTAAAATGCGTTTTGAGAGATGTCTGTGTAAAATGCGTTTTGAGAGATGTCTGTGTAAAGTGCGTTTGAAGATGAGATGTTCTGTAAAGTGCGCTTTGAGAGCTGTCCGTGTAAAATGCGTTTTGAGAGATGTCTGTGTAAAATGCGTTTTGAGAGATGTCCGTGTAAAATGCGTTTTGAGAGATGCCTGTGTAAAATGCATTTTGAGAGATGTCCGTGTAAAGTGCGTTTTGAGAGATGCCCGTGCAAAGTGTGTTTTGAGAGATGTCTGTGTAAAGTGTGTTTTGAGAGATGTCTGTGTAAAATGCATTTTGAGAGATGTCCATGTAAAGTGCGTTTTGAGAAATGTCCGTGTAAAGTGCGTTTTGAGAGATGTTCGTGTAAAGTGCATTTTGAGAGATGTCTGTGTAAAGTGCGTTTTGAGAGATGTCTGTGTAAAGTACGTTTTGAGAGATGTCTGTGTAAAATGCGTTTTGAGAGATGTCCGTTTAAAGTGCGTTTTGAGAGATGTCCGTGTAAAGTGCATTTTGAGAGATGTCTGTGTAAAATGCATTTTGAGAGATGTTCGTGTAAAGTGCGTTTTGAGAGATGTCCATGTAAAGTGCATTTTGAGAGATGTCCATGTAAAGTGCATTTTGAGAGATGTCCGTGTAAAATGCGTTTTGAGAGATGTTCGTGTAAAGTGCGTTTTGAGAGATGTTCGTGTAAAGTGCGTTGCAGTAGTCCAGACGTTATGAAATAAAAGTGTGCACGACTTGTTCAAAAAGATTAAAAGGTAAAAACTTTATACACTAAACCTTATATAATACTACTACTATACTACTATGTTAGATACATACAGAAGATCAAATATATGAAGCAAACTGTATAGAATTATGTAGTAAAGAAAAAAAGTGAAATAAGTCAAAGTTATTTTGAATTTAAGTCCTAAAAGTCTCCTGAAATGGTTTTCTCTTCACAGCTGTGCTGTGTCAGGGTCAAGAAATGCCAAAGTGCAAAGAAAGCAGTGATCAAAGTAAAGGGTGTCTATTTTTAAAAATCTAAAATCTGAAACAAGTCTGGAGTTGTTTTGAGGGTATTTTTTCCTTAATACATTCCACATGTGGCCATTCATAGTTTTCAGTTTCAGTGAGAATCTACAGTGTGGTGTAGGTTGCAGATATTTTCACACAAGGCTCAGAATAATCACACATCAAAGTCATGTAGGGCTTTTTGGACGCTCACAGACCCCTTACAAACAAATCCTCCAGAATGTTTGAAACGTCCATCGTTGTTTATTAAAATGGTGCTTTGATGTTATCATATAAATATAAGATAAACACAATCCTCCGTCTCATAAACATATGTTACTCTCATCCAAACAGCTCCTCCACCTGCTCGTCTCCTGTTACAGCTCAGTCTGGAATGTTCCACAGTGCAGCATTTGGCTGTTGGTCTATCTCTGTTCAGTTAAAGGTGTTCTTATTGCTAAAAGCCTCTTTAAAAACATGGATGCTTTTCTCCACAGATCTGACAGGTTTAATGTCATTCTGTGGAACATTCTAGACAAAGCGATAACATCTTCATAGAGACAAGTGAAGTTACATTGTGCTTCCTTCAACGTTATTTATCCCGGTCAATTGAAGACATGGTCTCGAGAGGCGTCAGTGTCTTTGGACCTATCCATGGGTTTCTGAGTGATGATATACAAGTACTGTTGCCATAGCAATTAACAAATCAAAACAAAATATTATATCTTTTGAGAAGTAAGGAGTCCTCAAAATTACATATTACAGGAAGCTGAAAGCCATGAATAGCAGCAGATCATGTTTGTAAAAACTAAACATGTGTGAGTGTCAGTTTGTGCTCAAAGAGGTTTTTGAGAGTTATGTTTTAATAACAAGATTCTCTTCAAAGTTCACATTTTCAACACATCCAGAAGAATCAACAAATCTGAACTGACAAACTTACTCAAGAATCACATTTCAGAACATGTTTGTACAGATCTAAACTCCAGGCTTAGCGGCTTTTATCACAGTAAGACAGGAGATGTTGTTTTGGAGGAAATTATGGTTCAAATATGACTATGATGAAGTAATTGCTAATTGAGTTCATTCAAATTGGCCTTTGGGTTGGATTGTGGTGGATCTAGCAGCTCGAGTGTGAGAGTCAGTTTGGTAGTGAACAGAGAGGCCACTGGCACAGATCTGCTCTCCTCTGTCAGTCTGCCCAGGGCGGCTCTGGCTGCTGCAGAAGCTCAGTCTTTGCGATTTAAATAACGGTATTATATTCAGAGGTCCTTTTCAGAGTATGTTCTAGCAGCATACTTTTACTTCTACTTGAATAATATTTTTAGTGAAGTAACAGTACTCTGACTTGAGTAAAAGCTGTGCTTCCTCTTCCCACTGTGACTAAGTCTAAAGTGACAAAAGCTTTAAGTGACAATCTGAAATGATGTGAACATTTGTGTTTCTTGTGCCACTATGATTTATTTTGTCAAATTTTTTCCTTATTTTTGTGTCTGTTCAAACAAATTTTGAGCATTTTATCTTTCACATTAAATTAACTTCAAATTATATCAGATTCTGCTGCCTGACAATTACTCTTTAAGTTACTCTTACTTGAGTAGTACATTTTTCTTCTTACTTGAGTCATTTCATGGACCACTACTTTGCACTTGTACTTGAGTAGTATTAGTCTGAAGTGACATTAGTTGTAGTTGAGTGGAAAGTTTGCCTCCTCTTCGTCCTCTGATGAGACTGTGTTTGTGTTTGCAGCTCGTCCCCAGCAGAAAGGCCAGTGTGCGGGAGCTGCAGTCGGTCCATTCACAAGACTATGTGCTCATGTACACCACTGACCCCGCGCACCAGGACGAGACCGGAGCGCGCCAACCCACCGGTAACACTCACATCAACACACCAGAGTCAAAACATGAGAGTCAAAACTGCAGCGTAAAACATGAGATTCAAAACTGTAGAGTAAAACATGAGATCAAAAGAGTAACATGAGGTCAAAACATGAGAGTCAAAAACTAGAGTAAAACATGAGATCAAAACTATAGAGTCAAAACTATAGAAAAACATAGAGTCAAAACTGTAGAGTAAAACATGAGAGTCAAAACTGTAGAGTAAAACATGAGAGTCAAAACTATAGAGTAAAACATGAGAGTCAAAACTGCAGAGTAAAACATGAGAGTCAAAACTGTAGAGTAAAACATGAGAGTCAAAACTATAGAGTAAAACATGAGAGTCAAAACTGTAGAGTAAAACATGAGAGTCAAAACTGTAGAGTCAAAACATGAGAGTCAAAACTGTAGAGTAAAATATGAGAGTCAAAACTGTAGAGTAAAACATGAGAGTCAAAACTGTAGAGTCAAAACATGAGAGTCAAAACTGTAGAGTAAAATATGAGAGTCAAAACTACAAAGTAAAACATGAGAGTCAAAACTGTAGAGTAAAACATGAGAGTCAAAACTGCAAAGTAAAACATGAGAGTCAAAACTGTAGAGTAAAACATGAGAGTCAAAACTGCAAAGTAAAACATGAGAGTCAAAACTATAGGGTCAAAACATGAGAGTCAAAACTGTAGAGTAAAACATGAGAGTAAAAACTGTAGAGTAAAACACGAGAGTCAAAACTATAGAATAAAACATGAGAGTCAAATCTGTAGAGTAAAACATGAGAGTCAAAACTGTAGAGTAAAACATGAGAGTCAAAACTATAGAGTAAAACATGAGAGTCAAAACTGTAGAGTAAAACATGAGAGCAAACTGTAAAACATGAGAGTCAAAACTATAGAGTAAAACATGAGATTCAAAACTATAGAGTCAAAACATGAGAGTCAAAACTGTAGAGTAAAACATGAGAGTCAAAACTGTAGAGTAAAACACGAGAGTCAAAACTATAAAGAGAGTAAAACAGAGTAAACATGAGAGTCAAAACTGTAGAGTAAAACATGAAGTCAAAACTGTAGAGTAAAACATGAGAGTCAAAAGTAAACATGTAGTCAAAACTGTAGAGAAAAACATGAGAGTCAAAACTATAGAGTAAAACATGAGAGTCAAAACTGTAGAGTAAAACATGAGAATCAAAACTGTAGAGTCAAAACATGAGAGTCAAAACTGTAGAGTAAAATATGAGAGTCAAAACTGTAGAGTAAAACATGAGGGTCAAAACTGTAGAGTCAAAACATGAGAGTCAAAACTGTAGAGTAAAATATGAGAGTCAAAACTACAAAGTAAAACATGAGAGTCAAAACTGTAGAGTAAAACATGAGAGTCAAAACTGAAAGTAAAACATGAGAGTCAAAACTGTAGAGTAAAACATGAGAGTCAAAACTGCAAAGTAAAACATGAGAGTCAAAACTATAGGAGTCAAAACATGAGAGTCAAAACTGTAGAGTAAAAACATGAGAGTAAAACTAGAGTAGAGTAAAACATGAGAGTCAAAACTATAGAGTAAAACATGAGAGTCAAAACTGTAGAGTAAAAACATGAGAGTCAAAACTGTAGAGTAAAACATGAGAGTCAAAACTATAGAGTAAAAACATGAGAGTCAAAACTGCATGAGTAAAACATGAGAGTCAAAACTGAGTCAAAACATGAGAATCAAAACTGTAGAGTAAAAACATGAGAGTCAAAACTGAGTAAAACATGAGAGTCAAAACTGTAGAGTGAAAACATGAGAGTCAAAACTGTAGAGTCAAAACATGAGAATCAAAACTGAGAGTCAAAACATGAGAGTCAAAAACTGAGAGTAAAAAAATGAGAGTCAAAACTACAAAGTAAAACATGAGAGTCAAAACTGTAGAGTAAAACATGAGAGTCAAAACTGCAAAGTAAAACATGAGAGTCAAAAACTGTAGAGTAAAACATGAGAGTCAAAACTGAAGTAAAACATGAGAGTCAAAACTGCAAAGTAAAACATGAGAGTCAAAACTGTAGAGTAAAACATGAGAAAAAAGTCAAAAGAGTAAACATGAGAAAACAAAACATGAGAGTCAAAACTGTAGAGTAAAACATGAGAGTCAAAACTATAGAGTAAAGAGAGTCAAAACTATAGAAAACATGAGAGTCAAAACTGTAGAGTAAAACATGAGAGTCAAAAACTGTAGAGTAAAACAAGAGTCAAAACTGAGAGAAAACATGAAACTAAAGAGTAAAACATGAGAGTCAAAACTGCAGAGTAAAACATGAGAGTCAAAACTGTAGAGTAAAACATGAGAGTCAAAACTATAGAGTAAAACATGAGAGTCAAAACTGTAGAGTAAAACATGAGGGTCAAAACTGTAGAGTCAAAACACGAGAGTCAAAACTATAGAATAAAACATGAGAATCAAAACTGTAGAGTCAAAACATGAGAGTCAAAACTGTAGAGAGTAAAATATGAGAGAGTCAAAACTGCAAAGTAAAACATGAGAGTCAAAACTGTAGAGTAAAACATGAAAGTCAAAACTGCAAAGTAAAACATGAGAGTCAAAACTGTAGAGTCAAAACATGAGAATCAAAACTGTATAGAGTAAAACATGAGAGTCAAAACTGCATAGAGTAAAACATGAGAGTCAAAACTGTAGAGTAAAACATGAGAGTAAAACATGAGAGTCAAAACGTAGAGTAAACATGAGAGTAAAACTGAGAGTCAAACTGAAAACATGAGAGTCAAAACTGTAGAGTAAAACATGAGAGTCAAAACTGTAGAGTAAAACATGAAGTCAAAACTGTAGAGTAAAAACATGAGAGTCAAAACTGCAAAGTAAAAACATGAGAGTCAAAACTGCAGAGTAAAACATGAGAGTCAAAACTGTAAAGTAAAACATGAGAGTCAAAACTATAGAGTAAAACATGAGATTCAAAACTATAGAGTCAAAACATGAGAGTCAAAACTGTAGAGTAAAACATGAGAGTAAAAACTGTAGAGTAAAACACGAGAGTCAAAACTATAGAATAAAACATGAGAGTAAAAACTGTAGAGTAAAACATGAGAGTCAAAACTGTAGAGTAAAACATGAGAGTCAAAACTGTAGAGTAAAACATGAGAGTCAAAACTGTAGAGTAAAACATGAGTCAAAACTGTAGAGTCAAAACATGAGAGTCAAAACTGTAGAGTAAAACATGAGAGTCAAAACTGTAGAGTAAAACATGAGAGTCAAAACTGTAGAGTAAAACATGAGAGTCAAAACTGTAGAGTAAAATATGAGAGTCAAAACTGCAAAGTAAAACATGAGAGTCAAAACTGTAGAGTAAAACATGAGAGTCAAAACTGCAAAGTAAAACATGAGAGTCAAAACTGTAGAGTCAAAACATGAGAATCAAAACTATAGAGTAAAACATGAGAGTCAAAACTGCAGAGTAAAAGATTAGATTAAAAACTGAGCAGAATTAGATTAAAAACAGAATACAACATTAGATTAAAAACTGAGTAAAGTATTAGATTAAGATAAAAAATATAAGAGTAAGAGTTAAAAATATAGTAACTCACACTGACAAATCAACATTGGAGTAAAATGGGAAAAACAGAGTAAAGTCTGACGTTTTACTCAAACAAAACAACAACACCGGATTAAAACATTACAGTATCAACAGTGAGAGTAAAAACATCTGAGTAAAACAAGAGTAAAAACAATAGACTTTAGAAAAATAGGTACAGAAGTATTACAGTAACACAATGATTAAAAGTAGAGTAAAAAGAGTAGAGTAAAATATAAGAGTAAAGTATTACAGCAAAAAGAAATGTAAGTAAAAAATATTAGGTTAGTTTTAGAATAAAAACATTAGAGGAAAAACAGGACAGTGAATTAAAAAGATTTCAACAAAAACATTAAAGTAGTAGTTTATCTTAGCTTCAGAACAATGATTGCAGTATTGTCCCTTTGTCCATATATTGCCCACACCTCTTCATCTGTATATTCGATCTGTAAATATGAATAACGGGAAATTATATCTAGACTAAAAACTTTACATTATAAACATATATAAAACATAACATATAAAAATGATTAAGGACATTAAAACATTAGATTCAAAATATAAGATTTAACCTAAAAGAGTGACGCGTGATTCCTCTGCAGAGATCCTGCCCAGAAGGCTCATGGTGCGGCTGCCGTGCGGAGGCTTCGGGGTGAGTTTGGCTAGTCTGGTTTAGTCCTGGTTTAGTCCTGGTTTAGTCCTACTTTAGTCCTGCTTTAGTCCTGGTTTAGTCCAGATTTTTTTCAGATTTTGACCTGGTTTAGTCCTGGTTCAGTCCTGATTTAGTCCAAGGTTAGTCCTGGTTTGGTCCTGATTTAGTCCAAGGTTAGTCCTGGTTTAGTCTTGAGTTAAGTCCTTGTTTAGTGTAGTTTTTGACCTAGTTTAGACCTGGTTTGGTTATGATTCAGTCTTGGTTCAGTGCTGGTTTAGTCCTGGTTCAGTCCTGATTTAGTCCAAGGTTAGTCCTGGTTTAGTCCTGAGTTAAGTCCTGATTGAGTCCTTGTTTAGTTCTCATTTAGTCCTGGTTTACTTTTGCTTTAGTCTGATGATGCACTTTTCTAATATACAATATATTTCTGCTACTACTACTCCTACTATTACTATTTCTACTACTACTACTACTACACAATCACCAAAGCATATTATCAAAAGTCATTGTTTTAATTCAGATGTTTATGATCATTGGAATTGAGTTAATGAAGCATATGTGTCCGTTTGGTAAGTGATGGTTGTAAAAATGGGACTAAATGTGTTCCAGAGAGTGTAGTATGGATTATTAATATCTTTGGAATGATAAAAGTCCAAATAAAAAGAAGAAAGGAGTCCAGATTTGTACATAAATCTGTTTGGACATCACGCACTGAGACAAAAGATTCAGTCTGAAAATGGACTGAAGTCAAGCCAAAAGAACAAAGGAACGAAAGAAGACAAGAACGCAGGCTCTGAACTAAAGAAAGAAGAACATGTGGAGGAGAGGACAGAGAGAGAGAGAGAAGGAAGGAAGGGAGGGAGAGAGAGGAAGAGATGGAGTGAGGGTGAGAGGGAGAAAGAAGGAGACAGACAGAGAGGGGAAGGAAAGAGAGAGGGAGGTGGAGGAGAGAGAGCGTAAAGAATAATAATAGAATATTCTGTATGATAATGTTTTGAGTTTAAGCTAAAGTGAGCAGAGGGTGCTGTTGTTCAGGTGGACATAGACACAGTGTGGAGAGAGCTGCACACGTCTGCTGCCTCCAGGATCGCTGCCGGCTGCGTTATAGACCTCGCCCTGAAGGTGGCACAAGGACAACTCAAGGTCTGGACCAAACCTGTGTACAAATCATATATATAATATATAATAAAATAAAAAAAAAAAAAATATATAATATATATATATATATATATATATATATATATATATATATACATATATATATATATATATATATATATATATATATATATATATATATATATGTATTAGTGTGTGTGTGTGTGTGTGTGTGTGTGTGTGTAGTATCCAGTTGAATTGAGAAGGCCAGAACTGATGATGAAATATCTTTTAAGCTCTGTCATAGAACCTAGAGAACTAAAAAACAGAAATTATTATAAACCAGGGTTCCCATAGTCATGTTATTTTCCATGCCTGGAAAACTCATGGTATTTTGTAAATTCAATGACAGTTTTAGAAAAGTCATGGAATTTAGTATCTCTTTCACACAACTCCAGTGTTCTGTTAAGTTCTCATGAGGCTCTTCTCATTATTTCTGAACGTCTGCACCTTTTGTTAAAAGAGACGACAATAAATGCACTGACAGGATTTAGAATGTTCAAAAACTATAATCCCAAACCATAAGGTGAGCAGAAAGAGTTAACAGTTCATATTTAGACCTAAAAGTCTGATCAATTCTACACATGTAGGTGCTGTAAAGTCATGGAAAATTCACTTTAGGTCATGAAAAAGTCATGGAAAAGTTTAGAAATTTTGTCAGTGAAAAAGAGTGGGAACCCCGATAAACTCACATGATCACTGGCTCATTACATTGTTTAACTGTTATTCATATTTGAACATTCATTCAGGACAAATTACAAGTTGCTCAGACTTACATTCACAAATAAAACCCCTGTGGACTGTTGCAGTCTTTAGGTTTTTTATATAATTATTATTTTTGTTATTATAATAATAATATTTTTACATTTGTTTGTGTTTTTCACTGTTGCCGTCTTTACTTTGTGTCTGCGTCACTTTCGCTCACACAGGGAGTCACCAAAATAAAGCGTAACTTTACTGTTAAATGCCATGCCTCCCACTAGCATTAGCAACAGGTTTGATTGACATTGTTGCTAAGCGCCTGCTCCCTGTTAAACCAGGGATACGTACAGTTGGAGAAGTTTACCTCAACAGCGTCACACCGGATTGGCTCTTAGGTTGCTATGATACTTGCGATCCGAATTCCCAATATGGAACTTGGCTCCAAATTTGCCACTATAACTGCTGACCTTGCGAGCTTCATTTGACTGGGGCTGAGCGCTGTGGGTCACACTCACTTAGTCCTCTTCTTTATACAGTCTATGGTACAAATATTTACATGTGTGTTCTTCTTGTTTTTATGGTGATGTTTTCTTTCAGAATGGTTTCGCTGTGGTCAGACCTCCAGGACACCACGCCACACACTCCTCTCCTCTGTGAGTGCCTCAACACTTTTAAAGCACCACTACGGCACTTTTCTGTCACTTGCTTGTCCCCACTGTGATGTCTATTTGTCTGTAAAGTTCCCCGGTAATAGCATTCAGTTATCTATCTAGCCTGTAGCAATCACAAATATTTTTCTTGCTCAAATGGACGCCTCTCCACAGATATATCTATCTATATCTATCTATCTATCTATCTATCTATCTATATATATATATGTATCTATATATAAATATAAATATCTATATATATATATATATATATATATATATATATATATATATATATATATATATATATATATATATATATATATATATATATATATATATATATATATATATATATATATATATATATATTGTTGACTAGAGCTAGAGCTAAGAACTCAGAACTCAGAAGGTTTCTTGATAAGTTGAATATCATACTGTGAAACATTCCAGGCAAAGCAATAACATCTCCATGGAGACAAGTAGATGACACATACTGCATGTAGGGTGACCACATATCACATATCCCTGTTTACCCAGGGCAGTCCCAGGTTTGAGTCCCAGTGGATTTATCCAAAACCACTGATTTGTTTTATACAAGAAATGTCCCAGGTCTTCCTATTTTTGACCCATTTGATTCCTGCCAACAGAGGCATATATAATTACAATTTGTTTAGATAAAAGACAGAAAAGCTGCTTAAAAATGACCAAAACACAAAGAAAAAGTGACTATACTGACTCATGTGTTCGTCACACATTCGTCATGGTCTCTGCAGAACAGTTTTCCTTCATTTCGCACTTGTTTCACAATTTTATTATTACCAACCACCAAAAAAAAAAAAAAAAAAACAGGAATGTTCCAGTTTTTTATTTTGAAATTCTGGTCCTCACTGCACGTTTAAATGTTCATCATCATCAGCTGCAGAGTGAGACTGAACACTAAGTCCTATCCAAAGCCTTATAAATCTTGTTTATTATTAGTGGTGTACAGGTCGGTGCTGCCTGCACATTTTCTTGGTCTGTGTCCCCATGTTAAAGAGGTTAGCGACGTTAGCGAGGTTAGCGACAGTGCTAGCTCAGCGCCCTGTCCGTGTGATTTATGCATGTGATTGTAAAGTCATTAGCCTCTGTCAGCCCGGTCTCTGCTCCGGGTTAAAACCTGCTGACTGTTCTCACATTCCACGCTCTGCTGTAGACTCAAACCTCTCACTTTATCACAATCACATGTCAATAATCTACAAATATATATGTGTGTGTGGGTGGGCTCAGATCTGCTCACCTTCAACTGTTTAAAGGTGCACTGTGTCACTTTTCTGCTAGAGGATCTGCCAGATGCTTGTTTCAATGGAGATGTTATTGCTTTGCCTGCAATGTTACAAAGTCCATCCATCCATTTTCTTCCACTTACTCCTGGCCCCCTCCTCGTGGGACTTGAACACCTCGACAGGGAGACGCCCAGGAGGCATCAGAACAGATGAACTCCCCTCAGCTGCTCCTCACGACCTGGAGGAGCAGTGGCTCTACTCCAAGCTCCTCCCGTGTGGCTGAGCTCCTCACTCTATCTCTAAGGGAGCACCCAGCCATTCTGTGGCGGAAACTTATTTCATCCCCTTGTAACGGTGATCTGGTCCTTTCGATCATTACCCAGAGTTCATGACCATAGGTGAGGAGAGGAACATTGACTGAGAGGTAAATTGGGAGCTTTGCTATTCTCTCGACTCTCTCAACACTTAAATGTCCATAGAGAGAAAATGCCAAAATGCATGTTTCTGAGTAATAAAAACATCCATAATAGCATAAAGACGTCTTATATAAGATTAATGCCATGTTGTGGAACATTACAGCATGGTGACAGATCCACAACCTGAAAAGTTACACAGTGCACCTTTAAATGTGTAAGAGATTGTATATCTTGAGAGTAGTTGTTAGACCTCCAGCAGTGACTTGAGTAAATGTTGTGCTTCCTCTTCCCACTGTGAGTACAGTTTTATGTGACAATCTGAAATGATGTGAACATTTGTGTTTTTTGCAGTTCCTTCACATCTGATTTAGTTTCTCTCATTTTAGTCTCTGTCCTTTGAAAATACCAGATTTTATGACTTATTTCATGTTCTGTCCTTAACATTACATACATTTATAATTCATTTGTAACAGTTCTTATTTGTGTGTAGTGTACTTTTTACTCACTATTTTGTACTTCTGTTTGAGCAAAATTAGATTGAAGGAATGTTACTTTTACTTGAGTACAGGTATTGGTTTCTCTTCATTGTGAAGTTTTTCAAATAAATGTATTTTCATAAATACTTTGTTCACGCAGTACTGTGTGTGTTCCAGAGGCTTCTGTTACTTTAACTCTGTGGCCATCGCCGCCAAACAACTTCTACAGAGACTCAATCTCAACAAGATACTCATCCTGGACTGGGTAACTACTACTACTGCTACTACTATTACTACTACTACTACTACTGCTGCGGCTGCTACTACTATTACTACTACTACTACTGCTGCTACTACTACTACTACTACTGCTACTACTACTACTAATACTACTACTACTGCTACTGCTAGTACTACTACTATTCTCACAAACACCTCTGTACTTCAACACTGGAGGTAAAGTGGGTGACATGTCTTGCCTAAGGACACAACAAGAGTCTGCATTAGAGCCACTAGTGTCCCACTGTGGGACCTGCTCCCAACAGTGTCACGTCCAACTCCTGAGCAGTGTTATTACATTTTGTGCTGAAAATGTGTCCGTATTATATTATACTGTTCATCTGATCTGTTCTAATGTTGTTTCCTCATCACACACACGCACACACACACACGCGCACACGCGCACACACACACACAACACACACACGCACACACACACACACACACACACACAGCACACACACACACACGCACACACACACACACACACACACACACACACACACACACACACACACTGAGTTCTTCCCTCACACAGAAAACACTCTGTTCCACCTTGTGATGTCATGTGGTAATACAGTGTTTTCTGTGTTTTCAAACTCCATACACCTTCACTAGAATCATCTGGATGATTTCAGTCCTGGAATTATCAACCTCGACTGAAATAACAGTAAAAGGTAACCTTGAAGTAGTTTTCAAAGTTAACTTGATACAAGCTCAAGACGGACCAGAGCATTTAGAGGATTTAAGATGGAAAAGCTCACAAGAGTCATTTTTGTGTGCTATAGGACCTTTAAAGGAAACTAAACCAGTCTAATCCCTTAAAAACAATACTTAAAGACAATTCAGTCATTCATTTCTTTGTAGATAAACTTGTAAATGTAACATATAATTAGGATTAATAGCTCAGCATTGTGTTGCTCTGGTGCTCCATGTCCCATTAAAAACGTCTGACTTGTATTATGCAGATGTAGAAACTGTCCTGTGTGCTGCAGCTGGGAACACTTAGACAGATAACACTCTTGTTTACGACCAAACACTGGGCCCTGAACGCATCACACTTACAAAAGGCTCATGAGGCCACGTGTGCACCAAACATGAACACTCCAGTGTACTAATACTGTCTGTAATACTGCTCATGCTAACTGTTAACCACTGACATTTCCACTTGTTTACTCTGCTAATTGTAAACTAACTGTGTTTGAAGCAGATCTGTTGTGCTTGTGTGTGCTCTAGAGTTATACTCTATGACACCCATTATTGTCATATAATTTGGACATGTTAAGTCACATATTGATCTAAAATGAAGTGCTCTGACTTGTGCTTTAGAAAACATAATCACAACAAAGCACCACAGGCCCTTGGATAGCTGCACATCACTCTAGAGCAAAGCGTTTTTTACATTTGGACCAAAATGAGGCACTCACTGGAGGCAGCACCCAAGCATTTAAACACCATATACACAAAAAGACTTAAACAAACTTGACTGATCCACAAAGGTAATTACAAGGACAAAACGGTGACCCTCCAACAGAAACATTACACATTGAACCTTTAAATATTGAGCTGGAGGCAAATCTTTAATGAACTGTTTACTCCCACAGTCTAAATGCAGATGTGTGTCTGTGTGTTTCATGTGATATTTGACTTTTGCCTGTGTCTCTGTGTAGGACGTTCACCATGGTAACGGGACCCAGGACGCCTTCTACAGTGACCCCAGGGTGCTCTACATCTCTCTGCATCGCTATGACAACGGAACCTTTTTTCCCGGCAGCGGACACCCTGATGAAGTAATACTATTTCTGATAGTGCGACTGCTACTGCTACTGCTACTACTACTACTACTACTACAGCTATTATTACTCTATCACTACTACTACTACTAATAATAATAATAATAATACCTGTACAATTAAAGTTCTAATGTGTATCTTTTGTGGTGGAGGTTTCTGCCACCTGTTTGCTTGTCCTTGGTTTTCCTGTAATGTTCCACAGTATGGCATTAAACTTGTGCATTTCCATGGAGAAACATGTCCAAATTACAGGTTTAGATCTGTGGAGTGGTGAGAATGCATGTTTTTCATGATCCTTTGTGCAATACAAGTGTGCCCCCACACACCAACGGAAGCTAGATGGATGTGTTTAATGCCATACTGTGGAACATTCCAGGTACCATTCCTGTTTTCCTGGAGACACACAGGTGGGCGATCCTTCCCCAGAAACGTTACATCAGGGGTCTTCAACCAGTAGATGTGCACTCCCTTCAGAGGAGCTCAGCAAGGGATTTCTGCATCATACATCCTGTGCTGAATAACTCAAATTTGATTCAATGAAATGCAGATTATGATACTTCATTTCCTGCGACCAAAAGTAAAATGAGCAGCTCTGTGGCATTTTTGTTTGTAAAGGAGCTCACCAGAGGAAAAAGGCTGGAGACCCCTAAGTTATATAGTGCATCTTTAAAGTACTACCACAAACACATATGGCATACTTTTTTCTCTCTGTTCTTTAAATCTCCTCCATGTTTATTCCGTGCATTCCTCACAGTGTCCTCCTGTTCTTTTGTTTGTCCGTTTTGAGTTTATTTCCGAATACCTACATGTGGTCAAAGTTACATTTTCATAACAGGATGTGAAATGTCTACTCATTTATTGAAATACACAGGAAATGACTCTGGTCTCACCCAAATGCCCCCCTCCTCCTCCTCCCCCCCTCCTTTTCCCCAGCAGTAATGATGGGAGGATAGAGAGTACTTTCCCATAAAACACAGTACCTTTGGATGTGGTGAGCCCGGGTCTGGTGTGGTAAACCTCCATTAAAACCAGCAGGGGGCAGCGGTGACGTCAGAGGGGCAATAAAAGACTCCGAGGTGGCACTCACAGTTAGTAAATGTGCCCTAGTGTGGCATTACAGACACAAAGTCTATTGTAACAGAGCATTCCTCCATCCTCCTGTGTGTGGAACTGTTTCACTGCTCCACCCGTCCCCATGGAAACGACTGATACACAAAAACTATACAACTCATAGAGGGGGGTTCTACATGTATGTCTATGGTGGAATGTTCACCGGTTACCATGGTGACACAACACACACATTAGCAAACACAGTCAAATGTATTTTAAGACAGTCTGAACACTACAGAAAAAAAATAAAATAAAAAGGATTTAAACAGCACATTCTCAGGAGCCTGTGATCAGTGTTTATGGTCCTGTTGAGTTGAACACAAAGGATGAGTGTGATGGAGTCATCGAGATGTCATTTGTGCATGTTTGAGTAATTTAGTGATCTCTCCAGGGCCCTATTCAAACCCTCGTTAAAGTTAGCTGTAAGATTCTACACAGTTCTCTGCCCACGTCCGTCGCCCATGCTCCTACACCACAAAACAGATCTCACTGTGAAAAAACAAATCTGTTGGATGTCTGTATAAATATGGACAGACCATATCTGCTCCTTTGTGCAAGGAGGAATATGTTGAGCACTACCTGTGGCCTACAGAATGACCTCCAGGTCAATGTGATGTGGTGTGAATGTCTCTGCCCAAACAGTTACAAAGAGCCTCATGAGGGCGGTTTGAGGACACCCCGTCCTCTAGTGGACCCTGTGCTCACCACCAGCACCATGGAGCTCCACTGGCATTTGCTAGACGACACCAGAATTGGCAAGTCCCCAGTGGCGGGGCATCAGGGCCTGCAAGTCCTTCTCTGCTGGCCTAAAAAAAACATCTGAATCACAGACTGATGTTAAGGGCCTTCTAGCAGCATACAGCGTCACTGGATTCAGACCTGCTGATTGGACAGTCAGAGAGCGAACCAGCCAAAGCAGCAAACTGCAGCTGTAGCAGAACCAAGACTAAACCAGGTCTAAACAGAGTCTAAACCAGATCTAAACCTGGACTAATCTTGGACTTGAGAGACAGTGAGAGAGAGAACAAGACAGCTACACTGAGCCCCATGCAGTGTGGAGCCCAGTGCAGTGTGGAGCACCAGCCCCAGCTCTGTCCTTTCGTCTGTGGTCACCCAATAGTCTACGCGGGTGCACCTTTGGGCCAGTCCCGACAAACAATCCTGGTTTAGTTCTGGTTTAGTCCTGGTTTAGCACCCCAGTGCTCCTCACTTCTTCTCCATGCACCATGCACCCCCCTCTCCTCACTTCTCTGTGCACAGAATCTCCATGCCTCTTTATACTGTGTATAGAGTAACCATAGAATAGTTTTTGAGGAGTGGATTGTTTCAGACGGAGCACTACTGAAGGCCTACTTGTGAAATGCACTGCAAGTCCCCAATGGTCCCCTGTGCTTTTCACAGATGAGACCAGGTTCACCCTGAACACCTGTGATAGACGTGATACAGTCTTGAGAAGACACAGAGAACACTCTGCTGCCTGCAACATGGTTCAGCATGAGTGGTTTGGTGGTGGGTCAGTGATGGTCTGGGGAGGGACACACAGACCTCTACAGGTTAGAAAATGACTGCCATTAGGTATCAGGATGAATTACTTGAACCCACTGTCAGACCGTACGCTGGTGCAGTAGGACCTGGGTTCCTCCTGATGCATGATAATGTGACAAGAGTCTGTGGGCAGAACCTGAAGGATGATGGGATTGATACAACTGAATGGTCCTCACGATCACCTGACTTAAACCTGATAGAACACTCTGGGACATTATGTTTGGGTGCATCAGACGCTGGCTGGTTGCTCCTCAGACTCTACAGGAGCTGAGTGATGCCCTTACACAGATCAGGGAGAACATCCTACAAAACACCATTGTCGTCTCATTAGGAGCGAGACACGTCGTTGTCAAACATTCACACAAACATGTGGGGCTACACAAGAGACTGAGAAGCATTTTGATTTGCAAAAATTAAATTTTGGCAGAGTGGACCAGCCTGTCAGATCATCATTTCTGTATGATTTTAGCGTGTCTATAAAATGAAGCCCTCTGTAGGCTCCAGATATTATTTCCATGAATTGCCCTGTCCAGATTTGTATAAATATCCAACACATTAGTTTTTTCACATAGAGATCTGATGTGTTTTCAAAGTGTTCCTTTAATTTTGAGCAGTCTATGAACCATATACAGTTTGATGATAGCAGATGGACGCTGATTGTGTTGTGGTCTCGCTCTGAAAGGGGAGTGATTTAGCCTGGGGAGACTCAGAGGACCCCAGACCCCTGATTGGGAAACACTGCAGAGGCTCAGACTCATGTGCTTTCAGTTTGTTGCTCATACATGTGTCCACAGACAAATATGCCCCATGATCCTCTGCTCCTTCACCCCTCACTCTCACTTCCTCCGTCTCTTTCTCCCGTCCTTCACCCCTCACTTCTGCTTCTCCCGCTCTCCTCGTCGCCCTGCCTCTCTCTTCCCTTCTTTTTATCCTCCCCTCTCTCTTTAACCCCTCTTTCCTTCTCTCTCCACTATTCCTCCTCTCTCTTCTTTCCCCCTTTCTCTCTCCTTTTTCTTACTCATCCATCTTTCTTTCTCCCCCATTTCTCCTCTTTTTTCCCTCTCTGTCCCTTTCCTCTGTCCTCCTCCCTCCCTTCTTTTTCACTCCTCTTCTCTCACTCTTCTTCCCTCCAGTTCTTCCTAAATTCTCTCTCTTTTCACTCCCCTCTTCTTTGTCTCTCATCTCTCTCCACCTCCTCCCTCCCTCCCTCGCTCTCCCTCTCACATCCTTCCGTCTCTCCCCTGCCAGCACCTGTCAGTCAAACCCTCAGTGAACCCTGCTCCTGACAGTGTGAGTGATGGAGGGGCGGGGCCTGACACAACTACAAAGAGACCGGCCGAGATCCAGAACTTCGGCCGGTCCAAGATCCCGACTCGCACGGGGAGGTGTGGGCCAAAAAGAGAAGAGGAGCAGGGCGATAGAGAGATAGAGAGAGAGAAAGAAAGAGGGAAGAGAGAAATTACCAGATCTGAGACAATGAAACGTTTAAAATTCTTACATTACACAAAACTGACTCCCGTGAGCTTTAAACCACGTATAATGTTGTTATCATGTCCTAAACAGACCTGGAGATGTGTTTTGTTTCATTCACACATGTTTAACTCTTTATTATTACCGTATTTTCCGGGCTATAGGGTGCACTCTTAAACCTCCAACCTCATCAAAAAACAACTGTGCGCCCCACAATCCAGAGCGCCTTATACACCAATCCATAAACTACAAAGCCGCACCTTCTGTAGCGCACGCAAACACACACGGAGCAGACAGCAACTGCACAGCGAAACACACCCACAGACACACTCATCACTCCACGTCAACGAGGAAAGGAACGGAGGAACGAACTGAAAAAGCGAGTGCAATGTGCCACTTCTAGACACAACTGAACAACTGAGTCACTGCGAACACGCCAACAATCCAGCGGTCCCAGACAGCACCCTCCCTACACGCCACAACTGAACAAAGCCCAGAGTCACTGTGAACGCCACAAACAAACCAAACTACTGACCCATCACACTGTTGTGTTTCCTTTAAAGTCCCATTTAATGACAGTGCGCCTTATAATCCAGAGCGACTAATAATGTGGAAAATACGGTAATCTGTTTACATCTCCAAAGCTCAAAATGCTCTGTTCCACCTTGTGATGTCACAAAGTGGTACTTTTCAGTTTAACAGCTATTTTTTTTTTCTAGAGCTGAACTGATCCAAATGATTCTAGTGAAGGTGTGTGGAGTTTAAAAAACACAGTCTGTATTACTTTGTGTGACTAAATAGAATAAACAGAACATACAGTCGATCAGAACATAGTGTCATGGACAGTTGACAGCAGTTTTATTCTTTAAACATAAAGCTGCTGTGATTCTCTGGTTTGTTTGACGCTCTTTGATTCTTGACTCTTGGTTCTTGGTGATAATCACACACTCGTGTTCACACACACACACACACACACAGGATGTAAACTGAAGTAAATTGGTTTGGGGTATTTAGCATTGTTTAATTATTTAAAGGTGCATTGTATAACTTTTCTGGTGGAGGGTCCACTGGGGAAAGGCAAGAGTGAGGACCGGGGTGCGGCAGTCATAGTTTTGTGTCTGGCCTAACCATAAAGCGCTGCAGTACACACTGCTTTTAGTTCTTTTTTTTCTTAAATGCTCTTTGTATTTGAGCTGCTTCTGGGTAGAAGCAGAACCAGAGATCAGAACGTGGTGGAACATCTCCACCTCTCACGTCACACGTACATGTGTATTTTCTTCTGAAAAGGCTAAACAACATTTTGAACACGTATGACCCAGAATCTGAATTTACAAATCTTAGTATACAAACAGAAAAGAAGGCAGGGACAGGGGGTGGACTTCTGAGCACTCAAGCCTCAAATACAGAACAATAGAGGAAACATGCAGCAAATAATCCAAATACTCTGAGTAAGATCAGGAGGAGTCTGTGCCCTTTAAACATGATTTCATTTGTTAAATGTAATCAAAATAAATGTGCTCCTCGCCCTGTGACCTCCTCCTCGCCCTGTGACCTCCTCGCCCTGTGACCTCCCCCTCACCCTGTGACCTCCTCTCCCTGTGACCTTCTCGCCCTGTGACCTCCTCCTCGCCCTGTGACCTCCTCTCCCTGTGACCCCCTCACCCTGTGACCCCCTCACCCTGTGACCTCCTCTCCCTGTGACCTTCTCACCCTGTGACCCCCTCACCCTGTGACCTCCTCTCCCTGTGACCTTCTCGCCCTGTGACCCCCTCACCCTGTGACCTCCTCTCCCTGTGACCTCCTCCTCGCCCTGTGACCCCCTCACCCTGTGACCTCCTCTCCCTGTGACCTTCTCGCCCTGTGACCTCCTCCTCGCCCTGTGACCTCCTCTCCCTGTGACCCCCTCACCCTGTGACCTCCTCTCCCTGTGACCTTCTCGCCCTGTGACCCCCTCACCTGTGACCTTCTCGCCCTGTGACCCCCTCGCCCTGTGACCTCCTTCCCGCCCTGTGACCTTCTCACCCTGTGATCTCCTTCTCGCCCTGTGACCTTCTCACCCTGTGACCCCCTCACCCTGTGACCCCCTCACCCTGTGACCCCCTCGCCCTGTGACCGCGCGCCTCAGGTTGAGAAACACTGGACTCTGGGGATATATGGGTTTGTTTCAGTTTAAGTGTGATTTATGAGAGAAAGACAGAGACACAGAGACACACAGAGCGACAGAGAGAGAGAGAGAGACAGAGAGACATGCAGAGAGAGGAAAGGGGGGTGAGGGTAAACAGGGAGAGTGTGAGAGAGAGAAGCGATAGGGAGTGAGAGAGCGAGAGAGAGATTTATGATCAGATCTTTGACAGATGATTGAGAGTGTGGGGTTGATAATGTCATCTTTCCTTCATTAAAACCATAAACCCGGACTGAGGAGGGCTGACGGGTCGATGAGGGGGGCTGACGGGGGGCTGACGGGGGGATGAGGGGGGCTGACGGGGGCTGATGGGGGCTGACGGGGGGCTGATGGGGGGTGAGGGGGGGATGAGGGGGCCAAGAGCTTCTCAACTGTCTCTCTGAGGATTAGAGTTAAAGCACATCTCACAGGTTTTCGTGTTTGTCTCAGAACCTGTGGTGAATATTCATAGTTTTGCATCAGTAAAGTGACAGTTTGTGAAGAAAAAGAGAAAAATACAGGACGTGTGTGAGTGATAAAACTGAATCCCTCTGCCTATGTCATCAACAGGAAAACTCTATCAAATACAGAGACAGTTCACGCACATGGAAGGACTTTTTCTGACAGTTTTCACCTTCATTTAACTAAATAAAAGTATTTTGGTTTATTTTTATGAGTCTAATCAGAAGTGTTGTATCATTGTTTACACTGTGGTTGCTAGGTAAGAGTTATGTCATATCTGCTGCCTGTGACCAACCAGGAAGTAAAATGATAAATACTGAAATGTGCAAACTAGAGAAAATTAGGCAAGATTTAAAAAAAATAAAATAACAAATCTAATGTTGAGTCAAACATGTCACCAAATGCTCTCACAGGAACTAAAAATGTGAAAGATGTCCTCTTTTTTACACTAAAACTAACTCTGACATGAAGTTTATCCTGAAGAAACCAGGACTAAACAAGGACTAAACAAGGACTAAACCAGGACTGAACCAGGACTAATCCAGACTTAAACTAGGACCAAATCAGGACCAAAACAGGATTAAACCAGGACAAACCAAGACTAACTGAGAGCTAAACCAGGACTAAACCAGGACTAAACCAAGACTAAACCAGGAATAAAGCAGGACTAAACCAGGACTAAACAGGACTAAGTGTGTGTATACTGTGTGCAGGTGGGGGCAGGAGCAGGAGAGGGCTTTAATGTGAACGTGGCCTGGAATGGAGGACTGGAGCCCCCTATGGGTGACGCAGAGTACCTCGCTGCTTTCAGGTAACACACATACACTCACCTAAAGCTGCACTCTGGAACTTTGGTCTGGAGCGATCTTTTTTGCGTTTATTCCATTACAGGCATTTAGAAAACATGGAGACTTACTGAACAGATCTGTTAAATCCACAGAGATAGATATGTTTAATGTCATACTGAGGAACATTCCAGACAGTGTAAATACATCTCCAAGTCACACAATGCACCTTTAAAAGAACTGGAGTGGAGGTTGGATGTTCTCCCTGTGTCTGAGGGGGTTTCCTCCAATTTGTACTAAACTAGGACTATACCAGGACTGAACCCAGACTAGACCCAGACTAGACTAGGACGTTTTAATTTTCTCATCAGAGCTCGCAAGTTTAAATGAGGATAAAACAATGAGCTGCTAGAGTTACAGTTGGTTAGAATAACAACAGCAGTCTCAGGACAGAGATGTCAGGACGGAGATGTCAGGACGGAGATGTCAGGACGGAGATGTCAGGATGGAGATGTCAGGACAGAGGTGTAAGGACAGAGATGGCAGGACGGAGCCAGGACAGAGATGTCAGGATGGAGATGTCAGGATGGAGATGTCAGGATGGAGATGTCAGGACAGAGTCAGGATGGCGTTAGGACGGAGATGTGATAAAAGTGATCTTTGTCAGACTGAGCGTCGCTGCTCTGAGCCGCGTTCGCTCTGTTCTAGCAGCTCTCACTCTGATTGGTCCAAACGCTTCACGCGTTGCACTTTACAGACGTCACACGAGTGGGAGGAGCTCACCCAGTCTGAGGAAGTAAATGTGGAAGATAGAATTATTTTTGGGCCCATGAGCTGATGAGCAAAGGCCCCTGAAAACAACACCACGCGTCTTGGCTTCATCTTCACATCTGATTAGAGTTCTATGGCCCGAGCTGCAGTACCTGGAACGGCCACTAGTCGATTTCACTTGACAGAAGGGGAGTGTATAGACCATGTCTCTCTCCCTCCTCTCCTCTTGTTCTCTCTCTGTCTCTCTCTCTCTTTGTCTTCCTCTTTCTTTCTTTTTCTCCTCTGTATAAGTTCCTTGTTCTCCTCTGGCTCTGCTCCACTGGATTAGTCTCTCATCCCTCCATGACGGTGGACCTCAGTGGGTGGGCCTCACACTAACACACACACATGCTAACACACACACACTAACGATGCTAATGTAAGGAAAAAAAAAAAAAAAGAAAAGCCTTGGGAAAAGCTCAGCCTTGTGTTTACTCCAGTGATGAACCAACCAGATTCACTTACCTCTCCTCCTCTGCTCCTCTGCTCATCTGTTCCTCTCCTTTTCTGCTCCTCTGCTCATCTGTTCCTCTCCTCCTCTCCTCTCCTCCTCCTCTCTTTGTCTGTTTGCTGTGAGCTGGAGTCTGTGTTGTCAGATAAGTGTCACATTCAGGTGTTCAGATGTTCTAACACGCTACACGACAATGATGAGCAGTTCCTTTGAGGCTCTGTGTTCTGGACCATCCACACGTTCATGTCATTTTGCTCTCTTGGTGTTTCATGTTTCATAACTTCCATCCAGTATGAGCAGAGGTGAGCTGTCTGTCCATCTTGTGTCTGTAATGTGATTTGGAGGGAGCACAGATTCTCTCACCTGTTGGACTTCACATACATCAGCTCTTTCTGCTCAGATTGTGTTGAAACAAAGCTCAGATTCAAGTCTAACGGAGCTTCAGACAGAGCAGTGCCTTCAGTTAGCACCAGACCTGTTTTTAGAGTCCAAAGACACCTTGAAGAATTCTTAACGTGAGCAGGGTCGCCTCTCCACAGATCTGACCTGTCACTTGGCCTACGTACCTGCTGGTCTTCATGTAGATCAATAACAGTGGGTGTAATGCCATATTGTGTGACATTGAAGACAAAGCAGAATCATCTCCATGGAGACAGCTGACAGGCCATCCATAAATAGAAATAGTGGCATTAAAGTCTCAGTGTTGTTTTGTGTGTTGAGTTGAGAGTTTTTTGATGCAGTTGTGAAACGTGCTGCAGTGTGATAAATGTGCTCTGATGACACACTCGAGGATCATGCCAGTTTTGTAATTGACTTAAAAAGATTTACTGTCTGAAAGTTTGGTTGTGGTGAGACTTTTCAAGAATGTGTTGAAGTGAAGAAGTACTTACCTCAGTCTGTTTGAGAAACTAAATAATCGTTAGTTATTGGATTGTTGGCAGTTTCCAGTTTGTTGAGCTATTTTTGGATGCCTGAGTCTTGTTATCTCAACATTAAAGTGGACCTTTTCTGCAACTAGACTTTTCACCATGTTGGAGTAGTTTCCCCTCACCTTTACTCATCCTAAATTGTATTTGGAGTGATTTTGTGCATGTTTCTTCTTTAATCGCTTATTTTCGAGATGCCATTTTGCCGATCTACCCCCATTTCTGCCTCCACCGGTACACCCCCACTGTTAGGTTTTGTTTCTGTAAGACATAAACAGATTTGCTCAAAGCTGCATTAAAAACCTTATAATGTCAAACGATGTGGCTTTAGAGTGGTGATGGTTTATCTGTTGTAAAGTTGAGTTTATTATTGCAGATGACTTTATTGAATAATCTGCTTCAGTGTAGAACTTGTACAATAGTGTTGGGAAACGTGGATCTGTGCAGTGGATTGTGGGATACCTCACAGTTCCACACGTTGGTTTGAACCTCCAGAACTTCCGACACTAAAGGAGCTCACGGTTGTTTGTATTTTCCTGGTTTATTAAATATATAATTTTTACACATGTGCATAATTTGTAAGATTATGTCTAGAACCCGGGATAAAGATGTGCACGTAAACACACTCAGAGAAGCAATGATGATAATTGTAACACTAGTTAAAAAATTAACAATTACTAAGATGAATAAAATGAAAGTGCTGAATATTGATCTCTGTTTCCCACTTTGCTCATTGTTGATAATGATTGTGAGAAATCATTCACATGATCAGTGTCTTCACACAGATGATTATCATGAACCATTATTAATAATGTAGAACTAAAGACAAGCTGAGCACATGTCTTATTTGAGAAGAGTGTATCAAACTGTTGCCCTTCATGACTCTGTGCTCATGAAGCAGCTCTCAGTTTCAAAAAGGTTGGTGCCCCTGATTTAAAGCAACTGAATGTAGCCAGTTCTACAGTCACATCTGAGCCTGTCTCCAGAGCTTTAACCTGCAGATAGACACACAACTAAGTGTCTCATTTTCAGTTTCTGGACAGACCAGGCCTCATGTGAAGCTCAGAACCTCCAGAATTTACTCCCTGAGCTGCAGAGGCTGCACTAGCACTGACTCATGACTGCTGCAGGTGCTGGGCTTTAGGGAGAGACTGTTCAGATCAGTCATGTGAGACTCATTCTGTTTTCTGATTGGAGAATCGTCTGGGACCAAAACACCAAATAAACACAACATCATCTCCACAGTTGTTGTAATTAAGAATAAATTGGCATTAGAATCATGTTTACCTCGTATCTGCGGGCACAGGTTAAGTCTATGGAATTCATCCATCCATCCATCCATGTTCTTCCGTTTATCCGGGGCCGGGTCTCGGGGGCAGCAGTCTAAGCAGGGACTCCCAGACTTCCTTCACCCCAGACACTTCCTCCAGTTCCTCAGGGGGGACCCCAAGGTGTTCCCTGCCGGGCCCCGTGGGGGAAGGCCCGGCCTCCAGACGCTCGCCATCGAGCACCCACCCCAGGCCTGGCTCCAGGGTGGGGCCCTGGTAACTCCATTCCGGGCGAAATATCTGGCCTCGTTGGTGCACTCGATATAGAGACTCATTCATTCATTTAAAAATATTGTGCACTTTAACAAAAGAAAAAGCTTAAATGAAGTGTGAAGAAATAAAACTTTTTACTCCCACCCCCAGTACACGCTTTATTACATGTTTTTTTTTTTTTTTTTTTTGCATATTTACAAAATTTTTGTACTTCGTAGTTGTATAAGTACTGATAAATCAAATATATTTATATGTACTATAAATAATCATGATGATAATACAATAACAATATTTTATATTGAATATTTAGCTTTGAATTCCTTCCATACACACACACACACACATGCACACACACGCACACACACACACACACACCCTTAGAGCCTGTGGTTTTACTGCTTGTCTCCATGGAAGTTAGATAATAATGCCACACTGTGGAACATTCCAAGCAAGAACATCTCCATGGAAACACGCTGTACAAACACTTTTACCTAGAGCATCTGTAAACCTCCCTCTACTCATACCTGATCTAAACCAGGACTAAACCTGATCTAAACCAGGACTAAACCTGATCTAAACCAGAATTAAACCAGAATGAAACCAGGACTAAACCAGAATTAAACCAGGACTGAACCAGAATTAAACCAGGACTAAACCAGAATTAAACCAGGACTAAACCGGGACTAAACCAGAATTAAACCAGGACTAAACCAGGACTAAACCAGAATTAAACCAGGACTAAACCAGAATTAAACCAGGACTAAACCAGGACTAAACCAGAATTAAACCAGGACTAAACTAGAATTAAACCAGGACTAAACCGGGACTAAACCAGAATTAAACCAGGACTACACCAGAATTAAACCAGGACTAAACCGGGACTAAATAAGGATTAAACCGGAACTAAACTAGGACTAAATCAGGACTAAACCAGGACTAAACATGTCTGATTTTTGTGCTGATATTTTGTGTTTTTGCTTTTCGGCGCAGTTCAAAGCGCTGGTCCCGTCTGGTTTCAGTTACTTGCTCGTCTCTCTTCTCACGTCACTGACACGAGCATCTGGGACCTATTCTGTCTAATTACCCAGCAGCCTTAGAACCCCCCATCTCCCCCTCCTCACCCCTCTCTTCACCCCTCTCCTCTCTCACTTTCCCTCCCCCTCCCTCTCTCCCGCTCTTGTTCGAGATTCCTCTTTTACGCAGAGCCACGTGGAGTTTGGACTGAGGAGCAAACACATAAAGACAAAGTGATGTATAGAGACGCTTCCAATGTGAACAAAAAAAAAAAAACCTGTTCTGGACCAGGTTTGGACCGGAGCAAAATGTCAGAGAGATCCATTAGACTATAAAAAAAAACTAAACTATATCAGACAGTGGAACAAGTCGATAAGATGCTGAACCAGGACTAAAACAGGACTGAACCAAGACTAAACCAGGACTGAACCAGGACTACAGGACTACACCAGGACTAAACAGGACTAAAACAGGACTAAACCAGGACTAAAACAGGACTAAAACAGGACTAAACCAGGATTAAAACAGGACTAAACCAGGATTAAAACAGGACTAAAACAGGACTAAAATAGGACTAAAGAAGGACTAAACCAGGACTAAAACAGGACTACACCAGGACTAAACCAGGACTAAAACAGGACTAAACCAGGACTACACCAGGACTAAACCAGGACTAAAACAGGACTAAAACAAGGACTAAACAGGACTAAACCAGGACTAAAACCAGGACTAACCAGGACTAAACCAGGACTAAAACAGGACTAAACCAGGACTAAAACAGGACTAAAGGACTAAAACAGGACTAAACCAGGACTAAAACAGGACTAAACCAGGACTAAAACAGGACTAAACCAGGATTAAAACAGGATTAAAATAGGACTGAACCAGGACTGAACCAGGACTAAAACAGGACTAAACCAGAACTAAGCAAGGACTAAACCAGGACTAAAACAGGACTAAACCAGGATTAAAACAGGATTAAAATAGGACTAAACCAGGACTGAACCAGGACTAAACCAGGACTGAACCAGGACTAAACCAAAACTAAGCAAGGACTAAACTAGGTCTAAACCAGGACTAGACCAGAACTAAACCAGGGTTAAACCAGGACTACATCAGGACTAAACCAGGGTTAAAACAGGTCTAAAACAGGAATAAAGCAGGACAAAAAACTGCAGGTTCACCACTTATGCATTTCTCCTTCTGTAGTACAATACTTTAGAATATTTATCTTTCTATAGGTTGAATACTTTAGTAATCTAGTATGTACCATATTGTTATACACAGCTGCAAACAGAAGAACAATACACACAGATCATACAAAGAGTCTTTCATTGATCATTTCAGTTTTTATATAAATTGATAACATGTCATTCGTTTGTTTGTTTGGAAGCTTTTCTAAAGATTTGAAATATATATATATTTTTAGATTGCATTTGAATTAAAAGATATTAGGATTGGCATTATTCCATTTACAGCAATGAATCAAATGATCAAATAGAACATATATACAGTGTGTCTTTTTATTCATATTATTATCAAAATAATAAACAAAATGTCCCTTTTCCCTTATTTCCCACAGCACACAAAGGTTTTAAACAATGTTCAGTTTCACATCAAAAAGAGTTGACATATTTACAGGCAAACGAGCTGGTATTGGAAATAAGCAAAATTCACTGGTGTCACCGTCAGTTGACCTCTTACCCCGAAAGTTCCACAGCGCGCCTTTAAATCTGTGTTACATAAATAAATGGAGCGCGCAGCACATGATCAGGCCTGTCACACACTTCACATTCATCTGGAGCAGGATCAAATCAAATCTTTTGTTTTGTCATTGTTTTTATTTATTGACTCTCCGTGGGCCATGTTGGACGTGCACCTCTCATAAACAATAATATGATTGAAACATGTGAGCGGTGCACAGTCTTCTGCTCATATGGAGCACACAGTTGTTGATGTTCTAATGAAACACAGACTTCAGTTCGGCTCCAATCACTTCAAATATGGATCTTTGCCGACTTATTTTCAGGAAAATCGGATATATTTAGGCGTCCACCAACCGAATCTGAAACACTTCCTCTCTCTGTCAGAAAAACTCAAATTATTAACACCTGTTCAATCATGTCTTAACTTTTATTTGACCAAAGAAGACCACAGGCATTCAGAGAGATCAGGAGTCAAACCCACAACCTCCTTACTCAGTGGAGACAGGCTAACCACTCTGCCACACTCACACAGGGAGAACATGCACACTCATAGAGATCAGGAGTGGAACCATAGGCTATATATATATATATATAAATGGACAAAGCTCACCTGTGAGCCGCTGTGTGAGCACAGACACACAGGAAGTGAGCACAGACGCACTTCCGGTTCCATCGACTCCAGTTCAGTTTGTATTGAAAATCCGTCGCTCCTCTCTCTGTACCTGCTGCTGTGGCCTCGTCATTTTGGTTTTAAAATGTTTGTATTAACCCAAGACACATGATCCTGAGGTTTTATTTCATCTGTAAATCATGATAGGAACATTAAAACAGACAAGATCACTCACACTAGTGTTAGCAACAGGTTTGATTGACAGCACTGCTAAGCTCCCGCCTCCAGCCAGAGGTGTTGCAGGAAGGGCCTCTCGTGATTGGCTCTTACAATGTTACAATGATACTCACAGTCGGAATTCCAACTATGGAACTGTGTTCTGCTCCGGAGAGGCTTTTATAACTTCAGCCTCGATGAGCTTCATTTGACTGGACTGAACACTGTGGTGATGTCACCCTCACATAGTCCACTTCTTTATACAGTCTGAGTCTAACCCACAACCGCCTCAGTGAGAGGAGGAGAGGCTAACCACTCTGCCGCGGTGTGTGCAGGGCTGTGGTGATGCCCATCGCTCATGAGTTCGGTCCAGACCTGGTCCTGGTCTCCGCCGGCTTCGACGCTGTGGAGGGAAACCCAGACGAGCTCGGAGGATATAAAGTCACTGCCAAATGTGAGTACAGTGTGAGACACTGAACACACAAGTGTGTTTTATAAAGGCCAGTCACAGTAACACACTTTAGTGTGTTTCATACAAAAATATTATAATAAAAATATGCATTTATACTTTCACAAGAATCACACTAATCTCTTTACTCAGTGATCCATGTTAAAGTCCATATGTCTCTATTTTCTGTCCTATGTTCTAAAGTCGTTTCCTCATCGCACACACACCTGGAGTTGTGTTTTGTTTCATTCACACATGTATGACACACAAACCTGCACATTTAGCCTGAGTTCTGCTCTCCACCTTGTGATGTCATGTGGTTATACATCATGTGCTCCGCAGCATTTTGATTCAGCCAATCTCTACTAAACAAAAGGTGAAGATATCTATTAACCTGAAAACTCCCGCTTCATGATGATGATGAAGGTGGAACAGAGCATTTGGAGCTTTGGAAATATAGACAGACTAATAATAAAAGATTATTCAAACATGTAAATGACACAAAACAAAGGAGGAGGTAACAAGATTCCCTCATGGCTTAAAGCTCACACAAGTCCATTTTGTGTCATATAGAATCTGTAAACATAATGTGTCATCTGCCGTGGCACTGAAGAGAAAACTATTACTAAACTAAAAACTGTGTGTGTTTGTTGTTTACATGTGCACGTAGAGTTTGTTTAAATCTCTATTATTCATTTGAACATTGTGGAGAGACATAAGTGAGCTAAAGCACACACACATGTGAAGTGTTCAGTCTGTCATGTGTGTGGCACACTCCACTCTCTCTGTGTGGAGTTTGCATGTTTTCTGTGGAGCTGTTCCCACTGCTCCTGACACGTTTAACCCAGAGACACTGAAGCACAGGTCAAATGCAGAGGATGGAAATACTTTACTCCTCTCTTACTCTGTCTCTTCTGTCCTGTAGGTTTTGGGTTCCTGACTCGACAGCTCATGTCTCTGGCTGGAGGCAGAGTGGTCCTGGTCCTGGAGGGAGGCCACCAGCTCACAGCCCTGAGCCACTCTGCAGAGGAGTGTGTGAAGGCACTGCTAGGGAGAGAGGCAAGAACCAGACTAAACCAGGACTAAACCAGGACTGAACCAGGATTGAACAAGGACTAAAACAGGACTGAACCAGGACTGAACCAGGACTAAACCAGGACTAAACCAGGACTGAACCAGGACTGAACCAGGACTGAACCAGGACTGTCTGAGAGCTGAAGGCTGGTTAGAACTCAGCCAGGACTATAACTAGACTAATGAAGATGTCTGACCTGTTTGGTCCACGTGGTCATACCCGCTGTGTCCTGTAGGTGGAGCCACTGTCCCCCAGTGTCCTAGAGCAGAGGCCGTGTGCACATGCCATCCAGACTCTGCACACCGTCCTACAGGTGCAAGGTCAGAGGCACATGCACATCTGTGTGTCAGGGTCTGTGTGTGTGTTGTGAGGGTTGTGTGTGTGTGTGTGTGTGTGTGTGTGTGTTGTGAATGATGCACTGATGTTGTGGTGGAGGTCTGTTCGTTCAGTCATCTCTCCCTCTCTCTCTCTCTCTCTCCTCACTCCTCTGTCGTTCTTCCAGGTGAACACTGGCGTAGCTTAAAGTTCTCCTCCTCCTCCTCTCCCCTCACTCTCTCTTCTCTGCTCCTCTTCACCCTCTCCTCTCACTTTCTTTCTCTCTCTTCTTCTCTACTGGTGTAGTTTGCAGGACTCCTCCTCCTCTCTCCTCTCTTCTCCTCACAGTCTCCTTTTTTCTCCTCTCCTCACCCTCTCCCTCACTCTCTTTCCTTTCTCTCTTTGTTTCTCTCTCCTTTCCCTCTCTTCTAGGTAAATACTGGTGTAGGTCTCTCTCTCTCTCTCTCTCTCTCTCTCTTTTCCAGGTGAATACTGGCATCATTTACATCACTCCCTCATCTCCCTGCTCCTCTCTTCTCCTCTCCTCGTCACACTCTCCTTTTTTGTCTCTCTCTCTTCCATGTGAATACTGGGATAGTTTACAGAATTCCTCCTCTCCCTCCCTCTCTATCTCCTCTCCTCCTCACCCTCTCCTCTCCTCTCTCTCTCTCTATCTCCTCTCCTCCTCACCCTCTCCTCTCTCATCTCTCTCTCTATCTCCTCTCCTCCTCACCCTCTCCTCTCTCATCTCTCTCTCTATCTCCTCTCCTCCTCACCCTCTCCTCTCTCATCTCTCTCTCTATCTCCTCTCCTCCTCACCCTCTCCCTCCCTCTCTTCCAGGTGAATATTGGTGTAGTTTATGGGACTCTCCCTCGCTCATCTCTCTCTTTCTTTCTCTCTGCTCTCCCTCTCTTCCAGGTGAATGCTGGCATAGTTTGCGGGACTCTCACTCTCTCTTCTCCTTTCCTCCTCACCCTCTCCCTCCCTCTCTCTTTCTCTCTCTCTCTCCTCCTCCCCCTCTCCCATCCTCTCTCCCTCCCTCTCTCTCTCTCTCTCTCTCTCTCTCTCTCTCTCTCTCTCTCTCCTCCTCCTCCCTCTCCCTCCCTCTCTCTCTCTCTCTCCTCCTCCTCCCCTCCCCCCTCTCTCTCTCTCTCTCTCTCTCTCTCTCTCTCTCTCTCTCTCTCTCTCTCTCTCCTCCTCACCCTCTCCCTCCCTCTCTTCCAGGTGAATACTGGCGTAGTTTGCAGGACTCCTTCCTCTCCCTCCCGCTCTCGTACTCAGAGGCTCAGAGGTCCAGACTTCGCAGAGACTTGGATTCGGACACGGTGAGAGGCATCGCCGCTCTGTCCGTGACCCCGCTGCACTCCCGAAGGTAACACTGTTTGACAACCAACAACAAACAACAAACAACAAACACATCTCACTAAATCCATTTCACTCACATCCACTTTTCAGAATATGATACAGAGAGAATTTAAAGAGGACATATTCTTCAACTTTTAAGAGCTTCAAATCACTTTATAACAGTGGACCCTCATAATGATCTTTTTAATTATATTATAAATTTAATTTTGATTGATTAACCCCTTATAACCCCACAGCAGGGTCCACAAACATGACACATCCAGTCCAGTGCACATCAGGGATGCAATTGTACAGTTTTCCCATGATTCCATACGTATCACCATACACGGGTCACAATATCGATATCGATGGGTCGATTTTGATACTTTTTAAGACATGAACAAAAATCCAGTGTATTTTTTTCAACTACTGTGCAGCTGGAGTTTATGTGTCAAGTGTTTAGTTCAATTTGGTTCAGTGATTGACAGCTCAGAATCTGTATTCAGTGAAAATAAGAACAGAGTTTCTTAGGCTATTTTATATTTTATTATATATTTATATATTTGATGATGATTTGATGATTTCTTTTCCTCGTGAGTTCTCTCATGCACATGTCTCACGCCTTTGTCCACACTGCTCTCACACAGACAGTACGTAGCTCCTCACACTGCGCTGCTTCAGTCTGTGACACACTGCGTCTCCCGTCCTCTTTCTGGACTCAAACTCTGTTCTATCACATACAAATGTCCCACAGACGTTTTCTGAGTAAAACAGATGAGTCAGTGTGAGAAAAAGATCGTGTTTATCATGAGCGGCGTCGCGGGGCTGAATACGAGCGCATTTGATTAAAGCCGATGTGAAGCCAAAAGTGATTCTAAAGTAATTAAAAGTGAATCTCTTTGTCGTCCTGGGTCTAAAATCAAAAAGACCAAACCCTGGTCTGTTAGAATATTTCAGCTGTAAGTCCCTATGGAGCAGTTTTCTGTTGCATTTGAAGAGGACGCTGTGATAAATGACAACACAGAGCGCCTGGAGGGACACGTGCATATCGTCCGAACACGTGTATCGAATCGTGACTCCGGTATCAAATGATTTGATATTATATTAAATATTGTTGCATTTCTAGTACATATACTTTTTGGTGCATTCTGCCCTGTCATTATGTCATCAAAAACCTGCCTGAAGAGCTTTTAGACATCATCCATGCAAATTTGAATAATCTAGGGATCTCTCCTGTTCACTCTGTACAAGGTTTGAATAATCCCTGAAGTCTACGTCCCTCATGCTCCAACACAACAACACTCCATAAATATACAAAAACATGATACAAAACTGTACGGACGGATGCACGCTGATTTTGTGATAGTGCTCTGAAGGGGCAGTGATTTAGCGTGGAGAGCGAAGGGAGGGAGAATGTTAAAACAATATATGTGATGTGTTAGCAGAAGTCAAATAACTCCTCTTTTTCTTTAAGACTGGAAAAAGCATCATATGTTTTCTAAATATTTAGATCATGAGTGTGCGTTTGTGTTTGCGTGTGTGTGTTTTTAGGAGACACGACTCAGGAGAAGAGTCCATGTGAAGGATGTTTCTACGACCTCTGATCTCTGAGCTCACTGTAAAAAAAACAAAAAAAACAACAACTGTATTTTCTTGGATAAAACTGTATTTTTGAAGGACATTTTTTTTTTTTTTTTACATCACAACTGAAGCACTTATTTGATGAAGCACAGACAGTCATCTCTCAGCCAATCAGTCACAAGCAGCCTTGAAGAGGTCAAAGTTCACAGAGCACAAGAGCAAACGTATCCGGCGCTGACGGATCCGGCGTCTAGGTTTGATGATGTCATCTCTGTGCACCTAAGCAGGATCTGTGAAGGATATGACCCTGTGATCTGTTAAGCAAGTGTCTACAACATGTCAGGGAAATAAGAGGACTAAACCAGGTGTAAACCGGGACTAAACCAGGACTATACTAGGTCTATACCAGGCCTGAACCAGACCTGAATGAGGACTAAACAAGGACTAAACCAGATCTAAACCAGGACTAAACAAGGACTAAACCAGATCTAAACCACGACTAAACCAGGACTAAACCAGACCTAAACCAGGACTAAACCAGATCTAAACTAGGACCAAACCAGGACTAAACAAGGACTAAACCAGGACTAAACCAGAACTAAACCAGGACTAAACCAGGACTAAACCAGGTCTTGGTCACACGGGACATGTCTTTGTGATGGCCTTGTCCCGGTTTAAACTTTCTTCATTTACATTCATATTTCTGGTGAGATTCTCACAATAGTTGAAACCTTACGGCGTGTTAATATCACCCAGCTCTGTTTGATTCTGCTGCATGACTTCAGTGATCCAGAGGATCAAAACATCTTAAAAGGATTCAGGAAATATGGCGGCGTTCAAAAATATACAAAACATATGTAAGTGCAGCGACTTCAAACCCCGTCTGAGCATCACACAGATTAAAAATGACTTTGTTCTGAACAACTTGGAGCAGGAACAAAGCAGCTGTGGCAGAGTGGTTAGCCTTCCAGTGGCGTTTGCATGTTCTGCCTGTGCCTGGGTCAACCTAAAGCATTCACAACAGGTCACATACTCCAGCTGAGTCCTGACCAAGACTAGCTCAAGATCTGGAGATGGTCCCACTGCTCCTGACAGGTTTGACCCAGAGACACTGAAGGGCGGTCAAATCTAGAGGATTACATAACTCTGCATACCACAATGTTCTCTGAGGCCTGAGATAGACCTGGTTTAGACCTGGTTTAGACCTGGTTTAGTATTGATCTTGTTCTGGTTTAGTCCTTGTTTAGTTCTGGTTTTGTCCTGGTTTAGCCCTTTTTTAGACCATGTTTAGACCTGGTTCAGTCCTGGTTTAGTCCTGAGTTAGAAATGTTTTTAGACCTAGTTAAGTCCTGTTTTGGTCCTGGTTCAGTCCTGGTTTAGTCCTGATTTAGACTTTGTGAATAGAACAATAGCGTGTTATTGATGCTCCACACATGGACCCGGGTTTAGTCCAGACTTGATCAGGACCACATGGGACTCCCGGACTGGCACAAAGTGGACTCACTCCTGGTTGAGACCTAGTTTAGTACTGGTTCAGTCCTGGTTTAATTCTAGTAAAGTCCTGGTTTAGCCCTGGTCTAGCCCGGTTTTAGTCCTGGTTCAGTCCTGGTTTAGTCCTGGTTTAATCCTGGTTTAGTCCTGGTTCCATCCTAGATTAGTCCTAGTTTAGTCCTGGTTCAGTCCGGGTTTCGACCTGGTTTAGTCCTGCTTTAGACTTTGTGAATAGAACAATAGCGTGTTATTGATGCTCCACACATGGGCCCGGGTTTAGTCCGGACTTGATCAGGACCACATGGGACTCCCGGACTGGCACAGACTGGACTCGGACTTCAAAGATCCTGGAAAAGTCTGGATCCTTTTGGGTCTGGTCCGGACCGAGTCTTGGACCCAGGGCGGCACACGGCTCCTTTGAACTGCTCTTTCATGTTGGGGCCTTCGTCACGGTGCTAAAGATGATTTTTATAATTCGATTTGTTACATTTCTTTCTTGTGTTGAGACGATGCAGCGGATTCTCTATTTTTGTGAAGAAGTGAAAGTCCTGGTTTAGTCCTGGTTTAGTTCTTGTCTGCTGATTTTTATAATTAATTTCTTTCTTGTGCTGCAGCAGAATCTGTTATTGTGAAAATGTGAACGCAGATGTAGCAGGACTTTGAGCTCACGGTTTTAAAGCGCCCAGATTACACTATTTTATTTCTGTGTTCTAATGTGATTTACTCATCACACACACACCTGGAGTTGTGTTTGTTTCATTCACATGTTTAACACACAAACCTACATATTTACGATGAGTTCTTCTCTCAAACAGAAAACACTCTGCTCCACCTTATGATGTCATGAAGTGCCCCATTGTGTTTTTAAACTCCACACACCTTCACCAGAATCATTTGGATCATTTCAGCCTTGGAATTTCAAAGCTCTTCTGAACTAAGGTAAACGGAGCTGTTCACTTGAAAACTACCACTTCATGACATCACAAGGTGGAACAGAGCCTTTGGAGATGTAAACAGACTAATAATAATAATGCAGAGTTACTCAAACATGTGTGAATGAAACAAAACACAACTCCAGCTGTGTTTTTGAGGAGGGAACATTAAAACATGTCTTAAATCTCACAAGAGTTCATTTTGTGTAATATAGGACCTTTCATTTTGGGGTTTTACTTCAATTAATTATTTTACTGTTTTATTTTTGTAGTTTGGAGAAACTGAATGTAAAAAGACCAAATAATGAGCCATAAGCCTTGAATGTGCTAATGACAAACCTGTATGAAGGAGCAAACCTAGAATGTACTTCATGTAATGTACTTCATGAATGTACTTGATGGAACATTGTAAGCAAAGCAATCACATCGATATGGAGACGAGCAGGTAGCGAACTCTCCATAGAAAAAGTTACATAGTGCACTTTTAAGTCATATTACAGATACAGAATGTCTATGACCCTGGATTCGAAATACAGTGAAACCAAAAGTGATATCAGAACAATATTGAAATGTATAAGATGTGACTCAGAGTACACAAAGATTGAATGTAGAGGTTGTGGTGAATATCAGGAGCTCTGATGTGTAAATCTGCTGTGAGGAAGCAGAAGAGGCACCACACGTCACACGTTTGCTCACTGCCTTTTCTCTGTCTTTGTTTTTTGTTTAACACTTTCTACATTTTAGATCCACACACAAGACATCAAATATACAGAATTATGTACAAAAGAAAAACAGTGAAATAACTCAAGTAAATATTTTTATATATTTGAGGTTCAAATGCCGCTGTTTGCTTTGTGGACAGCTGCAAACCTTTGGCCTTCTCTGATTGAGCTTCATGATGACGTCCCTGACATGGTCTTCACTTCACAGCTGTGCCACGTCAGGGTCAAGAAATTATGAGTGAAAGAGGCGAAGTTTAGAGTTATTTAGAGTGTATTTTCTGTTTACTATATTCACAGTGTAAATGATCATGGAAATAGAGAAGAAACGTTCATGAAAAAGTGCACCCAAACCTTTGACTGGTCCTGGGGATGGAAAAAATCGATAGACTCTTGATATACATATAAGAATATAGAGTGGATCTTCTGTGATTAAAGCCATTAAAAACGAGACATGAAAAAGAACCGTCCAGTGCACACTCACACACACGTGCACACTCACACACGTGCACACTCACACACGTACACACTCACCGCTCCTCGGGGTGCTCTGACAGGACACTCATGTTTGTGCTCAACTTGAACCTGAACCACATTTACAGGCTCGTGTGTCGTCTCATTATTAAGATTAAGGTTTTCACTTTTGTCACTGTCGACCTCCCCTGTAATCCTCTACTTTTACCCCATAAAAATACACTCCATGATTGATGCATTTGGCACTTACTGAATTAAACCCCCAAGCACACAGAGCTCTACACACATCTGTGCTGTGTGTGTGTGCGTGCATGTGGTCATAGCCTAAAGACGTGTGTGGTGTGTGTGTGTGTGTGTGTGTGTGTGTGTGTGTGTGTGTGTGTGTGTGTGTGTGTGTGTGTGTGTGTGTGTGTGTGTGTGTGTGTGTGTGTGTGTGTGTGTGCTGAGCCTTATGGAGCAGGTCCCATTGAAAAGTGCACTTAAACTGAAACTGGATTTTGACGTTGACTTTATGAAGATTTTTTGGTAGAACTGACTCATTGTTTTGTAATGAAATGTTGTTGTTTTTTCATGACTGTGCCTTAATAAAGAACTGCATTTTTCATTTAAATGTGTATCTCATTTATTTATTTATTTATTTTTCCGTCTGTTTGGCCCAAAATGTGACTAAAGCTCATGTTTATCTATCATACATTTTTGTCTTCTTCTGTAATTGTTGCAACACTAAAAATCACAACAGTGGCACAAATAAATGCTCTCATATCATTTAGATGGACAGATCCACTTATTTATCAATTCAAATGATCACATGACACTGTTTTCTGATCTGTTCACACACGCGCGCGCACACACACACACACACACACACCTGGGGTTGTATTTTGTTTCATTCACATGTTTAACACAAACTCTGCACATTTAGGCTGAGTTCTTCCTTCAAACAGAAAACTCTGTTCCATCTAAAGCAGGAAGTGCTCCACTGTGTTTTTAACTAGATAGAGGTAGATCATTATTTATTTATTTATATTTAAGGAAATTCATTCCAATTTGCATCCTGCAGTCCCTGCTCTGAAATACTGAGAATCCAAAAGTGATATCGAAACAATATTGAAATGTCTAAGTCCAATTATAAGAATGTGACACAGCTTTTGGACACAACTGCTTTTTCACTGTTTTTGTTCTTTCTATATTTTAGATATTTTAGATCCACACAGAAATCCACACACAAATATATGAAACATGAAACAAGAAATATGCAATTATGTAATAATGTGTAAAATAAGTCTACTAAATATTTTTATATACTTTAAAGGTGCACACTGTAACTTTTATAGTAGAGTCATGAAGAAATTACTGCTTAATATTCCACAATATGGCATTTATCAAGTTACATAGTGAATCTTTAATTCATATAAAAACTAATAAAACATCTATAAAAGCAGTTTTTAATAGATGTTTTTAGGGCTGTGTCTCTGGGCTGGTCTGGGAACACCTCGGAGTCACCGCAGAAGAGCTGGAGGAAGTGTCCAAAGTGAAGGAAGTCTGAGAGTCCCTGCTTAGACTGGTGTCCCCGCGACCCGGCCCCAGAGAAGAGGAAGATTATTATTATTATTACAAAAAATGAAAAATACAGTGAATTTTGATTGCAGTGTTGGTGAATGTGATTTTAGATGAAGCACAGATTAATACACAAAATGGATTTAAACAGCACGATCAGGAGCCTGTGGTCAGTCTGAGTGTCCATGATCCTGTTTACAAGTTTGACATTCAACAAAAAGGTGAAAGTGACTCGCTGAAAAACCGTTAGCTAATTCTAGTTAATGTGTGACTTGTGTAACAGCACAAACCAGCTCAGCTGTTGTAGTTCTGATCTTTATAGTCAGATTGTGTTGAAACAAAACTCAGACTGAAGTCTAACAAAACTTCAGACAGAGCATGCCTACAGATAGTATGTGTGTGTGTGTCTCTCTCTGTGTGTTCGTGTGTGTGTGTGTGCGTGTGCGTGTGTGTGTGTGTGTGTGTGTGTGTGTGTGTGTGTGTGTGAGACAGAGAGATAAATGAAAATAAGAGTGAAAAGCTGCACAGAAAAGCGTTTATTGTCCACAGGAGCCGACAGTCCAGATCATTCAAATGTATGAACACACAATATGAACACACAATATGAACACACAATATGAACACACAATATGAACACACAATATGAACACACAATATGAACACAGAACACAATACGTCTCTATGTTGCTATGTACAGGAGCAAGGCTGATCTGACAGTGGCCACTTTATTAGGTATAAGTCAAATACTTCTGAAAGTAAAACTCAGCCAATCAAATGAAACGAAACCCTCCTTCAATTTAACAGACCAAGTGTACTACAAAACATGTTCACTGTCACACAACTGTGTCACTGTCACGCGAGTGTGTCGCTGTCACGCGAGTGTGTCGCTGTCACGCGACGCGTGTCACGAGTGTGTCGCTGTCACAGAACCGTGTCACTGTCACACGACCGTGTCACTGTCACACGAGTGTGTCACTGTCACACGAGTGTGTCACTGTCACGAGTGTGTCACTGTCACGCAAGTGTGTCACTGTCACACAACTGTGTCACTGTCACACGAGTGTGTCACTGTCACACAACTGTGTCACTGTCACACGAGTGTGTCACTGTGTGTCACTGTCACACAATGTGTGTCACTGTCACACTGTGTCACAGTGTGTTACTGTCACACAATGTGTCACTGTCACACGAGTGTGTCACTGTGTCACTGTCACACAAGTGTGTAACTGTCTAACAAGTGTGTTAGTGTAGTGTAATTAATGTGTGTGTTAGTGTGTAGTGTAGTAAGGTGTGTGTTAGTGTGTAGTGTGTGTTAGTGTGTGTGTGTAGTGTAGTGTAGTGTGTGTGTGTAGTGTAATAGGTGTGTGTTAGTGTAGTAGGTGTAGTGTAGTGTGTGTAGTGTAAGGTAGTGTGTGTTAGTGTAAGTGTGTGTGTGTAGTGTAGTGTAGTAGTGTGAGTGTGTGTGTGTAGTGTGTGTTAATAGTGTGTGTTAGTGTAGTGTGTGTAGTGTAAGGTGTGTGTTAGTGTAGTGTGTTAGTGTAGTAGGTGTGTGTTGTGTAGTGTGTGTTAGTGTAGTGTGTGTTAGTGTAGTGTAGTGTAGTGTGTGTGTTAGTGTAGTGTAGGTGTAGTGTGTGTGTTAGTGTAGTGTGTGTGTGTAATAGTGTAGTGTAGTAGTAGTGTGTAGTGTGTGTTAGTGTAATAGTGTGTGTAGTGTAGTGTGTGTGTTAGTGTGTGTGTTAGTGTAGTAGGTGTGTGTGTAGTGTAGTGTTAGTGTGTGTAGTGTTAGTGTGTAGTGGTGTTAGTGTAAGTAGTGTAGTGTGTGTGTTAGTGTAATAGGTGTGTGTTAGTGTGTGTGTTAGGTGTGTGTGTAGTGTAGTAGGTGTGTGTGTTAGTGTAATAGGTGTGTGTTAGTGTGTAGTGTATAGGTGTGTTAGTGTGGTAGTGTGTAGGTGTGTGTTAGTGTAGTAGTGTGTGTTAATAGGTGTGTGTTAGTGTATAGTGTGGTTGGAGTTGGTTTGTTGAGTAAGTGTGTAGTAGGATGTGTTTAGAGTGGTACGTGTGTATGTAATAGTGTGTTGTAGTGTAATAGTGTCTTGTTGGGTGTAGTAGGTGTGTGTTAGTGTAATAGGTGTGTGTTAGTGTAATAGGTTGTGTGTGTGAGATACTGTTTAGTGTAGTAGGTGTTGTGTGTGTGTTATGGTTGATTGAATAGTGTGTGTGTGTGTTTGGTCTGTGTAATTAGGTGTTGTGTGTGTGTAATAGGTGTGTGTGTTTAGGTGTAGATAGGTTGTGGTAGTGTAATAGTGTCGTGTAGTGTAGTACGGGTGTGTGTTAGTGTAGTAGGCTGTGATGTTATGTGTATAGGTGTGTGTTAGTGTAATAGGTGTGTGTTAGTGTAGTAGGTGTGTGTTATGTGTAATGGTGTGTGTTAGTGTAGTATGGTGTGTGTATGTTTTAATTGTCATGTGTTTAGATGTAGTAGGTGTGTTGTTAGTGGTAAGCTTAGGTGTGTGTTAGGTCGTTGTATGGGGTGTGTCTGTGTGGTTGTGGGTGTGCAATCTAGTGTGTGTTAGGTGTTGTAATATGTGGTGGTTGGTTAGTTTGTACTGTAGGTGTGTGTTGAGTGTAATTTTGTGTGTAGGTTGAGGTTTGTAGTATGTGTGTGGTTAGTGTAGGATATGTGTTTGTGTGGGTTAGTGTAGTAGGCTTGTGTGTAGTGTTGTTAGTGTATGGTGTAGTGTAGTAGTGGTAGTTAGTTGTATTAATGTTGTTTAGTGTAATAGGTGTGTGTTAGTGTAATAGGTGGTGTTAGTGTAGTGGTGTGTTGGTGATAGGTGTAGTAGGGGTTGTGTGTGTAGTGGTAAGGAAATGGTGTTCTGTAGTGTAATAGGTTGTGTGTTGTAGGTGTGTAAGTTAGGTGTGGTTGGTAGTAGTTGGTGTTTGTGGAGTGGTGTGGTGTTGTTTAAGGGTGTGGTGGATTAGAGTTGGGTTTAGTGTGTCTTGTGGGGTGTGTGTATAGTGGGTGGGTTGAATTGGTGTTTGTTTATTTGTATAGATTCAGGTGTGTGTTAGTGTAATAGGTTTTGGTGTTAGTGTAATTACGGTGTTGTATGTGTATAGTGTTTGTTATTAGTGTGTGTATTTAGTAGTATAGGTGTTGTGTGGTGTATATTTTTATGGTAGTTTGGTTAGAGTGTTTAGTGTTGTGTGTGTTAGTGTGTTGTTTTGTCCTAGTTTGTTATGGTTTGTTGGTTTATGTGTGAGTAGGTAGTTGTTGTTTAGTGTGTAGTATGGTGTTAGGTGGTGGTTTAGTTATTGTTGATTGTTGTTGTTGAGTTATTAGGTATATAGGTGTGTGGTTTGATTGTGTTAGGTAGGGGTTCGATGTTGGTTGTTGTTTACGTGTATTTAATTCGGTTTGGGATATAGGTGTATGTTGAGGTGTTCGGGTTCGTGTTATGTAATAGGTGCTGGTTAGTGTAGTAGGTGTGTGTGATGTTAATAGAAGTTATGTAGTTGGGTGTGTGTATGTATTTATTGTGTTTTAGTTGTAAGGTGGTTTGTGAGTGTGTTAGTGTAATAGGGTGTGTGTTCAGTTGAGTATGGTAGGTGTGTGTACAGTGGTAATAGGGTGGTGTGTGTTTAAGTGCTATAATAGGTAGTGGTGTTAGTTAGTGATGGTTATGTGTTGTGTGTGTTTGTTGGTATAGGTATCGTGTTGTTGTACAGCTTTAGGACTGTGTTGCTTGGTGGTAATAGGTGTCGTTGTGTAGGTGTAAATTGTGTGTGTGTTTGTAGTATTGTAGGGTGTTGTTTGTTTAGGTTGATCAGGTGGTGTCTGGTTGAAGGTTGTTAATGTTTATTGGTTTTTCTGGTGTTAGTGTAGTAAGTGTGTGTTAGTTAGTAGTGTGTTTGTGTTTTGGTGTTAGTGTAGTATATGTAATGAGTGTAGTGTAATATAATTGTGTGTTGTTGTGTTGTGTTAGTTATTAGGTGTGTTAGTGTAGTATGCGTGTTCTGTTATGGTAGGTGGTAGGATGTTGTGTTATAGATGTATTAATTGTAGTGTTAGTGTGGTAGATATAGTGTGTGTCGGATGTGTTAGTGTGTGTAAGTGAAGTGTGATTGTGTGTGATAGTTGTTGTGTCTAAGCCATGTTGTAGTAGAGTGTATGTGTGTGTTAGTGTAATACGGCATAGGTTGTTGTTTAGTGCTGTAGGTGTGTTTTAGTGTGTATCGGGTGTGGTGGTTAGTGTAAATGAGGTGGTGTGTTAGTGTCCTAGGTGTGTGTTAGTGTAATAGTGTGTGTTAGTGTAGTAGGTGTGTGTTGTTGGTTGAGTAGGTGTTGTTTGTTTTGTGTAATAGGTTGGTGGTATGTGTTTAGTTGTAATATGGGTTGTGTGTTGTGTGTTGTAAGGTGGTGCAGTAAGTGTGTGTTAGTGTAGTAGGTGTGTGTTAGTGTGTAGTTGTTTAGTAGTAATAGTGTTGTTGGTGATGTAGATAGGTGTGGTTGTTTAGTGTAATAGGTGTGTGTTAGTGTAATAGGTGTGTGTTAGTGTAATGTGTGTAGGTAATGTGTGTGTAGTGTAGTAGTGTGTTAGTGTGTGTGTGTAATAGGTGTGTGTTAGTGTAATAGGTGTGTGTTAGTGTAGTAGGTGTGTGTTAGTGTAATAGGTGTGTGTGTGTAATAGGTGTGTGTTAGTGTAGTAGGTGTGTGTTAGTGTAGTAGGTGTGTGTTAGTGTAATAGGTGTGTGTTAGTGTAGTAGGTGTGTGTTAGTGTAATAGGTGTGTGTTAGTGTGTGTTAGTGATAGGTGTGTGTTAGTGTAATAGGTGTGTGTTAGTGTAATAGGTGTGTGTTAGTGTAGTAGGTGTGTGTTAGTGTAGTAGGTGTGTGTAGTGTAGTAGTGTGGTGTAGTGTGGTGTGTGTTAGTGTAATAGGTGTGTGTTAGTGTAGTAGTGTGTGTGTTAGTGTAATAGGTGTGTGTTAGTGTAATAGGTGTGTGTTAGTGTAATAAAAGTGTGTTAGTGTAACAAATGTATGTCGATTATTTCCACTGCTTTTGGTGTTTGTTTTTTTGTTTTTTTTAATAAAGCTTTACCAGTTTTAAATCAAGCATGTGTTCATTCATTTAAAAAAGAATTTATGTATTTAAGAAGTTACAGAATACTGAATACCTGAATGGAAACATATTCCCGTACATACTTAAAATACTGTTAACACTGAGTTGCATTGAAACATGAATTTTGTCTTCTTATGTACATTGACTTTTTGGTTTCTTTTTAAAGACAGTGCAGTAGGAGGTGTTTTACCTGCTTGACATGTTTCGGCTGCTCGTCCTACTGCATTGTCTTGAAGAAGAAGCTAGTGCATTGGATTTAAATGAAGAGCTTCATGTTGCTTGCAGCATTTGTTGTGTTTTTCTTTATCACTGCAGAAGACAAGGCTGAACATGCTCTCACCACCTGTCCTGTGTTTCCTGTCTTTCTCTCTAAACTATGATAATGTCCTGCCATGTATGCCTTTGAGTTTCAGTAATCGATGACTCAGGATTGATTCGATTAATCGGTGTGCTGATAGTACTGAGCGATATGTGGTATACGAGCTGCCTGATAAAGTGGCCATAGGAGTATATACATGTACCTACAGCAGATGCTTAGATCAACACACTACACTGATAAAGATTTACATCATTTGTAAATAAACATTTGAATGATACAAGAGAAAAGCAACACCATTCTCAACTGCTAAAAGTGTTTTGCCAAAAGGTTACATTTAAAGCCCCACTGTGGTGCATTTCTGGTGGTGGACATAGACACAGACTTCTTTTTTTTTCTTTTTATGTTTAATTCCATACTGCGGGACATTTCCATGGAGAAAAATACAAGGACAAATCAGGTCTGTGGAGAGGCCAGTCCACTTAAAATAATGAAATCAGTACTCTTATTTTAGCCTGCTGTTTGACTGAAATGCTACACAGTGGAGCTTTAAATTGATTATATTAAAAGTATATTTTTTCTTATCAATGATATGAAATTAAAATGATAAAAATCTGTACATTTGTCAAGAAGTGGTTAGAATATTTCAGAAAACCATGGCAGCGGTTGAGATGTAGACTGGGACATTATGTGACAGTGTACACAACCAAATTCACAGATGACAATTGCAGGCGAGACGCTACAGGTCAGACGTGCTCTTTCCTCTACATTTCACATTTATATTATATTCAATCCAAACAACTTTATAGCCATCATTTCTGTCTCTGTCATGAAGTTGCACCATACACAAGAAAGGCTAAGTGTCTTGCTCAAGGACTACACAACAGTATTATGCAATAGTGCCAATGTGCATCAAACCAACAGCCTCTGTGAGGTGTCATCAGAATGAAACGGACCATGGAGTACTTTTGTGTTCACATTGTTCAAACTGAACCATCAGTGTCCATTGACTTTTCACTCTTGGTGTAGAAGTGTACACACAGACCTCCCTCTCCCCAGACGCTTCTTCCTCTTGTTCCTCTTGTCTGTCTTGTTCTATATTTGACTTAGTGGTCGGTCAGACTGGTGTATCCTGAGCTCTGCAGATGGAGACACATCCAAGTGTGTCTCATTCTCAGTTTCTGGACAGACCAGGCCTCATGGGAAAACTCAGACCCTCCAGAATTCTGTTCCTGAGCTGCAGAGGCTGCACTAGCACTGACTCAGGATCAGCTGTAGGTGCTGGTGTTTACGGAGAGACCATTCAGATCAGAGAGACATTTTAGGTTTAAACACGCTGGAGTCAACATGAAGAGAACATGAGAAATGAAATGGTTGAATGTATCTATAACCAGATAAACATGTTCAGATCAAATATACTTTTATGGAAAACACCTGTAATGCTGATTTAGTCTTAATTACAAAACCACTGATAGCCAAGTAATTTGTGTTACAATAGTCTCTATTCACGCTTCCGTCACAAACCAGGAAGACGTTTGGAAACATGTGATGAAACTTCTGGTGTAGTTCCCGACACTGGACTCACCGACCAACTGTGATCAAACCCACTGAAGTGAAATGAAGACTGCAGATGTATGTGCTGTTTGGAATCATCTGGAATTTAGTCCCTCATCTCTTTTAATCACATGTACCAGTGCACTCAGAGTTGTGTGTCAGTGGGGAAATGATGAAAACTGAGGGATGGTTGGAATTGTTGATGAGTTGAACATAACGGAACACTACAATGACATGGAGATGAAGAAAACTGGGCCTGGGAAGTTGTCATGTTTCCAAACGTCTTCCTGGTTTGTGACGGAAGCGTGAATAGTGCCTGTTTGGGGGTTTGGTTCGATTATCCAATCAGAAAACAGCATTTGGGTTGCCAGTTTCAATGCTGAAATCCAGCACTCGCCCCAGTAGCGTCTCGCCTTTTTCCAAAACACAAAACAAATATCGTCCAAATAAACTCACTGTATTTTCTGGCTCTTTCCCACAGAGCCTCTATATGTTTAGCTTATTAGCATGTTAACTGTAAACACGTGACGCCGCGCCGGATCCGTGTCGTGTGCGCATCTTGGCAGCCATTTTGTTTTGTCCTCTCCAGACCAGCTGTGCATCTATGAGCTCGACTTTTCAACTGTCCAATCAGAGTTTTACTTTAGAGTCAAGCAAAAATATCAAAATAAACATTGTCCAGACTTGGTCCAGTTCAAATAATAAAAAGAAAAAAAAAAAAGAAAGAAGAAAAAAGTCCAGCTTGGGAATATTTGGGAAAATCTATAAGAGAACAAAAAATAAAGTTAGAATTACATGATTTTTTTTTTTTTTAACTAAACTGTTTAGTCCTGGTTTAGTCCATGTTTAGTCCAGGTTTAGTCCAGGTTTAGTCCGGGTTTAGTCCTGGTTTAGTGCTGTTTTATTCCTGGTTTAGTCTTGCTTTAGACCTGGTTTAAATCTGGTTAAGTCCTTGTTTAGTACTACTTTAGTCCTGGTTTATGCTTGAATGATAAATCCGAGTCAGTTCTCCCGACATCCATTATAAATGCATTTCATTGCAACATTTGGGAAAATATGGATGTCTGAGAAAGTTTAATGTCCAACTTACTCAGTCTGCACCGAAACTGACCGAGTTTGTGTTTCAGAACCATGATCTGATTGGCCGTTCCTTTGCACTTTGTCCAGGTGGAGGCTGTTTTCCCCAAATTCCGAGCACAAGAGAATAACAATAGTCCCGGTAGACCTGGTTTGGTCCTGGAGAAATATACTGCACAGTGTAACAGTACTCTTACTTGAGTAATACATAGTACAGTGTAACAGTACTCTTACTTGAGTAATACATAGTACAGTGTAACAGTACTCTTACTTGAGTAATACATAGTACAGTGTAACAGTACTCTTACTTGAGTAATACATAGTACAGTGTAACAGTACTCTTACTTGAGTAAAAGTCGTGCTTCCTCTTCCCACTGTGAGTGAGTCTAAAGTAACAAACTTTTTATGTGAACATTTGAACATTTGTGTTTCTTGCAGCTCTTTCACATATCACTTAGTTTTTTGTTTTGTTTTTGTTTTTTTACTCATTTTGTGTCTGTCCTTTTGAAATAGCAGATTGTGTGATTTATTGCATGCTTTGTCGTTACTTAAATCCTTTTTGAACTATTTCTTTGTACTTCTATTTAAATAATATTGTTTTGACGGAACAGTATAAAGTAGCTGTAATGACTTCAAAATGTCCTCTGTGAAACCCTCGCTCGTGTCCCACTGCTGTTCGTCTGTTCCTGGTTTTGTTGCGTGTGAAGCTGAAGTTTCTCACATCTCCGCCTCCTGCTGAGGTCAGATCTGAACCCGGACTATAACCAGACCACAGGGGGCTCTTTGTGATAGACCCGGACTATAACTGGACTAATGTTGTCACAATACTATATTTCAAACCTGATTTCCATTCGAAGGCATAGACTCAACACTCTATACTGATTCTGACACCACAATGAGCATAAAAAACCCTCTTGTTTTAGACAATAGAATGTCTAAACACAGAGTACTGTACTTTCTTTTTTATTCCCGTGTGTTTTATATGTATGTGTGCGAGCATCAGTGGTGCAGTAGGTTCATGTTGGTCCATGTGTGTATACTAGTCTATGTGCTCTGACACTTGTTCTGATACAACTCAACATCATTAATTTCTTTCTAGAATAGGTTCTGCTCTGTCCAATTAGATATTTTTAGTATCGATATTGTTCAAATGAGTATCGATTGTAGTTTCGATACTAGTTTGAGTATAGTATTAGTATCTGATTTTCAATACTTTTGACAGCCCTAAACCAGACTAGGGAAACTGTGTGATGGACCTGGACTTTAACCAGACCACAGGAGGGTCTTTGTGATAGACCCAGACTATAACCAGACTTCGGGGGGACTCTGTGATAGACCCTCTCTGGTTTCAAGGCCTGCATGGTGTTGGAGGACTGGACACCTGCGGGAGCGGCCGTCTGGACTCTGTCATGTCTCTGTGTTCTGCTCAATGACATCACTGAGGGACCATGAAGCTGGTCAGGAAACAGAGAACTTCTACACAGCCCTGATGTTCTGACCTTCTTATTGAGGCCCCTTTAAGACCTTCTTGACCCTGGTTTAGTCCTGGTTTAGTCCTGGTTTAGTTCTGGTTTAGTCCTGGCTTAGTCCTGGTTTAGTCTTGGTTTAGTCCTGGTTTAGTCCCGGTTTAGTCCTGGTTTAGTCCTTGTTTATTGCTGGTTTAGTCTTGGTTTAGTCCTGGTTTAGTACTGGTTTTAGTCCTGGTTTGGTCCTGGTTTAGTCCTGGTTTAGTCCTGGTTTAGTCCCGGTTTAGTCCTGGTTTAGTCCTGGTTTAGTCCTCATTTATTGCTGGTTTAGTCCTGGTTTAGTCTTGGTTTAGTCCTGGTTTAGTACTGGTTTAGTCCTAGTTTAGTCCTGGTTTAGTTCTGGTTTGATTCTGGTTTAGTTCTGGTTTGATTCTGGTTTAGTCCTTGTTAGTCCTGGTTTAGTCCTGGTGTAGTCCTGGTGTAGTCCTGGTTTAGTCCTGGTTTAGTACTGGTGTAGTCCTGGTTTAGTCCTGGTTTAGTCCTCATTTATTGCTGGTTTAGTCTTGGGTTAGTCCTGGTTTAGTACTGGTTTAGTCCTAGTTTAGTCCTGGTTTAGTTCTGGTTTGATTCTGGTTTAGTCCTTGTTAGTCCTGGTTTAGTCCTGGTGTAGTCCTGGTGTAGTCCTGGTTTAGTCCTGGTTTAGTCCTAGTTTAGTCCTGGTTTAGTCCCAGTTTAGTCCCGGTTTAGTCCTGGTTTAGTCCTCATTTATTGCTGGTTTAGTCCTGGTTTAGTACTGGTTTAGTCCTAGTTTAGTCCTGGTTTAGTCCTAGTTTAGTCCTGGTTTAGTTCTGGTTTGATTCTGGTTTAGTCCTAGTTTAGTCCTGGTTTAGTCCTGGTGTAGTCCTGGTTTAGTCCTGGTTTAGTCCTGGTTCTCCTGCAGGACTGAGCTGGGCCACATCCACAAAAACAGGAGGTTCTTTTTCATTTCCTCACATGTTTGACTTGCACATGAGGAAGAGTGAGCGAGCACAGTGAGCAGAAGACTCTGATCTGTCCTTAGACGTGACGTCCATGGACATTCAAATACAATCATTGAAACTGGTTTATTTGGATATTTGGGATGTTTTATTTCTCTTTACTTAAAGATACATTCACTTGTAACTTTTCTAGATGAGGTTCTGTGACCTGCTTGTATCCATCCAGCATCATTGTTGTTTTGGTTGGAATGTTCCACAGCATGGCATTATACATCTATATCTCAGTTTAAAGTAACAGGTCAGATGTGGGGGAGGTGACCGAACTCACAGCAAGAATACATGTTTGAGCAATAAAAACACACTGAAATGATTTAATGCAAGATGATTTCGCCATATTAATGCCATATTGTGAAACATTTCTAGCAGAGCAATAATATGTCTATGGAGACAAGCAGGTGACAGACCCTCAACCAGAAAAGCTGCATAGTACATCTTTAATCAAGTGGAGAAAATCTTGTTGTGGTGTAATATTAGAAGTGTGCACATGAACACAAGTGCAGTTGTTTGTCTGGTAATTGTCAGTGACTTTAAAGCACAGACACAATAGTGAAAAGATGTTTTACACGTATTTGTGTCTGAATATATCCAAGTTAAACATGTATAATTGTATAATTGTATAATATATCATTCTGTGTTTGTCGTGGCTTTAATGAGAGCTTCACAAACAAAAAGCAGGTGGTGTTTTTCATGGTGATGTTTGTTGGTTAGACTTTAAACCAAAGCTCAGATCAGAAGAGAGTGAGAGACATGAAGAACAGGCTCACATTAGAAACATTTAGTGTCTGTGGTCAAAGGTTTTATTTCAAATCTCTGGAAAATCTTGAATTTTGTTTATAACCTTGTTTATAACCTTCACTTGAAATTTATTTGAAAACATTTGATCATAAAATACTTTGAAATTATATCCACAATTATGTTTTTTTCACAATAATGATTTTGTTAGTGAGGCTACAACTTTAAGAGCCAATCATCAGTTAATTTAAGGTTATGTTATTGATACTTTGCACTGACATCACGCTGGGGCTGCCCTCCATTTATATTCATAGCGAAATGCTCAGCAGTTACCATGGTGACAAAATGCACATTCGCAAACACTGACAAAAAACGTTCAAAGATCCTCTGAAAATGGATTTAAACAACACATTTTCAGGAGTCACGTTTTCAACAAAAAAATTATTTCAGTCAGTTGTTTCTGGTCAGATTGTGTAAAAAGATAAAGCTCAGATTAAAGTCTAACTCGAGTAACAGAACTTCAGACAGAGCAGTGCCTACAGTTAGCTTCACACCCCGGAATACTGACGAAGCTGAGTCATTTTTCTCGAGGTGCTCATGTTGAGTTGAAGTTGTCCTGGTTTGTTGAGTGATTGTGATGAGTGACACTGGGGCCGTGTTCAAATGTGGACACGGGTTTGACTCATCACTTCTTTCTACGTTTGTCAAAAGTATCAATACCCACATATAAATCAATATCAGTACTTTAAATAAGTACTAATATGAATCAAATACATAAAGAGGAGCCAGTTTTTGTCTAGTTTTCTATATATGAACTAGTATAACTCACTCACAAACAACTTCAAAACTAAGACTAAACCAGGACTAAACCAGGACTAAGTCAAGACTAAACCAAGACTAAACCAGGACTGAACTAGGACCAAACCAGGACTTGACCAGGAGTTGACCAGGACTTGACCAGGACTGAACTAGGACTAGAACAGAATCAAACCAGGTCTTCATCATGACTAAAGTGAGGCCAAACTCTAGAATCAAAGGAGCCTTTCCAGTTTTCACTGCTGGTCTTAAACATTAAAGTGACTCTTCTGTCTGTGATAAAATATAAGAGAATGTTTCTCACCTGATCTGACGCAGACGAGCTCCTCCAAAAACTATGGGTCCAATTTAGGACAAAAAGTGAAAAAGCAAAGGATAAAGCAGCTCAAAGCCAGATTTTCAAAGGACAGAGGCAGAGAATGCAAATCTGGAACAGGTTTAAGAGTAAGGTAACCGGATGAGGTCAAAGGTCAAGGGGTGAGAGGTTATAAGAGGTCAGGGGGTGAGGAAACAGGAAGTAGGTGGTAATGTTTAGTGGACTTAACCTAGGAGGCAAAAGCACAGAAATATCTGTAGTATAAGATGTAGAAGAAGTGATATCAAGTGTTTGTGTCATGGCTGTGGGGGAAGAGGACGCTCAGGTGTCCACAGCTGTTACCTGGCAACCATACTGTAAACACCAACACATGTTGAACTAACACAAAGACACAGTTATGATTAGACTCAGAAAAAGAGTGTCTAAAGTGTGACAGAGCCACCAAACCTTTAATCAGGTCTGGGAAATGAATATTAGACGTGTATCACTATGTGACTGAGGATTTAGTGGTAGAATTACTTCAGTATGCTGCTGTCAAAATGACGCCTGTGATCAAATGGACCATTTCAGGAGAAGAATTTCTGAAGGTCTGAGGGCTGTAGTTTAGTCACCACTGATCTAAACTGTCAGACAAAGTCCTTCCTTTGGTGTAAACGGTCTCTGTTTGTTGGATCCTGTTGATGACACAGGCACAGGGATTCTGTTTACAACTCAGCACTACTTCCTGTATTTTTGTACTTTTATTCTCAGCTTTTTTCCACAAACTGTTACTTAACTGATGTAAAACTGATGATACATACTGACCACAGGTATTATCCTCTAAACCAAGTCAGAATTAGAAACACATGGAAACCTGTGAGATGCTCTTTCAGGATGCTTGGCAGTGGCGATAAAAGTGGTTTAATAATGGTTCAAATGCAACAAAACAAACTTTAAAACAGAGGCATCGTTAGCCCCTCAGCTCAGAACACACAGCACACCCAGCACACACACAGCACACACAGCACACACAGCACTGGCTTTAAAACTCCGCTCAATCTGCTGTTTGTACTTCCACATTTCCATTAGGAATTAGGAGATAGGAAGTGTCCCTCCTCTAGTGAACAGTGAACATGAGCCCAGTGCTAAAGGCAGAAACTGTTTAGATACACCAGTAACATGTATAAGGGTTCAAGGGTCATAAGGAAAGACATAGGACACATAGAGGTTAAGAAATAGGAAGCAAATCGGCCTTAAGCATCCTTCCAACTGGACTAGTCCAATTCACCAATATTAAATCAGTGTCATCTGTAAATATGGAAGGTGCCATATGGGCTTTAGGACGTGGGGAGGCGTCTTTAGGGTCTAGAGTGGCTGTAGTGAACATGGGACATTTTGATGCATTTGAACCAGAGTAGATAAAAAGGTCAGAGTTCAAGAGGAAGGATGTAGGGAGCAATGTGTCTTTAAGGATTCTTCCTATAGTGAACATTGGGTAAGTTAAACGGTCAAAGTTCAAGTACATGAGGGTTAGGGAAATGTGGAAATATTTGGATGTAACGAATTGAAATGAGCAAAGATGAGGGGTCAAAGTTCAGGGGGAAGTGCATAGGACACATAGAGTTAAGGAAGTAGGAAGTGAGTGAGTCTTTGGTTAGCGTCCTCAGTGGCTGGCGGACATGGCCCACGCCCCCTCCATCCTCCACACGGAGAAGGCGTAGCTTAGCCGCTCGTGGGCTAGGTAGTTGCAGCTGGCGAGCTTAGCGTCCATCTCGTCGCTCTGGAGGACCTGGTAGAGGAAGTCGATGTATCTGGAGGCCAGTTTGAGGATCTGGATCTTGCTGAGTTTGTCCGAAGGCAGCGTGGGGATGATTTTACGCAGAGAGGCGAAGGCGTCGTTCAGACTCTGAGTGCGCTGACGCTCGCGCACGTTAGCAATCACACGCTGAGAGTGAAGGTCCTCGAAGCTCTCCACTGCAACACAACAGATACATACACATATATAGATATAGATATAGATACACATACACATATACATATACATATACATATGGGTCCGGTAAAGTGGTAACGGAGGGAAACGGGCAGATTTTTTACATTCAAATAGCTCTTATTCAGAAACTAGAGGGACTATTGAAATAAGTAAAGTATTAGAATGTAGGAAAGAGTTAACACTCCAACAGGGTAAAGTTAAACCTCTATTTATTTTATATATTTATATTCTTTCAAGTTGTTGACAAAAATTTTTTTTAAATCTTATCTCGGTATCGGAGGGAATGAAATATGCAGCACTTTTTGGGCAATAAATACAAACAGTGATAACTAGCGGTTCTCACTTACATATCCTTAACAAACTGGTTTGAATATTTGTTTCATATAGTTTTCTACCATATGGTACAAGATTAGGTTGAAAAACCTCTTACTTTATGAGTAATGAGATTTTTTATTAAGAAAGGTCATGGTAATGGAGGGAAAAGTAACGGAGGGAAAATTGTGCAAGAAAGTAGAAGGTGCATGATTTTGCATAATTTGTCAACTTTTTTCTTCTGAATACTTTAATATTACTTCAAAATGAAAGGTAACTATTTCTATAAAATATGTCAGTCCTTCCAAGCAAAATTTTATCATTTTAAATAAATTTTTTTTGAAAAATCATGTACCTTCATCAACAGTTCAAAGATGGAATAACACAAGATATGATGAAATACATCCATTTATTTACATGATTTGCAGGTCTTTGAAATGTGGGAAATAATGTTTGTTCCATGTTTCATACATGCTCTGTTTTAAACGTATGTAACTTTAGAACCAAAAATGGTACAGAAAAAAGGTAAACCGTTTCATAAACTACAGTACATATGCTATCTGTTGAATACATTTTTATATCAGATGCATTAACTTGAATTTTTGGCCTTGCTGTTTACTTCTGCTTGACCGGACCCATATACATATGCACTGTAATACAACATAGCACTCTTGTACTTAGTATACATTTTGACATCTGTACTTTACTTTAAAGTGGATACTTTTTACTTTTACTTCACTACATTTGAGAGCAGTTATCTGTACTTTCCACTGCACCACTACATTTTTAACTAGACTGAAAAGTAAAAATATTTCTTATAATAATTATCTGAGACTGAAAAGGCTGAGGGATTATTTGATCACATTTGTAGTTTGAGCAAACACAAATATGGGTTATGGTTAGTTACATGTTTGTCCAGACAGGAGCTATAACTTCAGTTGTTTCTGTTGAACAAAATTCAGCACAAATCTTCAGAATCACATTTGAATCTTTATTAGATCTAAAATTCGATGCAAAATACTTTAAATTTTTACTCTTAAGTACATTTTTAAACAGGTACTTTAATATTTTTACTTAAATCGATTTTTCTATGTGATACTTTTACTTTTACTTGGGTTTTTTTCTGCTCCAGTATGTGTACTTTTACTTAAGTAACAAGAGTGAGTAGTTGTTCCAGCAGTGGCTCTGTGTTTTCTGCGTGAGTTTGTTGTGCAGGGACAGAGTCTGTGGCCTCTTCACATATTTACATCATCACCATGCTCCCTTTTATTGTTTTAAAAATGCTTTTCTTTCAAAACAACCTATTAACATGCTTTATACATTTTTGTTTAATTTTTGGTTTTGTTTTTGACGTGCTAAGTCACTCCCCCTTCAGAGCGATCTCACAACACGTCAGTGTGCATCTCACTAATGAATCTCCTGCACGTCTCATCAGGTTTGTAAAGCTGCTGTGTACAGTTTTGTGTCATATTTTTGTGTGTTTGTGGAGAATTGTCACGTGGGAGCATGGATGACGCAGGTTTGTGGGCGGAGCCTTGAACAAGATCTTACAGCTCACCATTTAGTTGGGTTTGATGGCCCAGGAGAGATCACTGTATTACTCAAACATGCATTGATGACATGTAAAGCGTGTTTTGTGTTTTTGATATTAGACCGTGTGAGAAAACTAAAATAAAGTGGATTTTTCACAGCCCATCTTTAACCAGTGTCCCAGGGAACACCTTGAGGGATTGCCAGATGTGCCTTGAAAATCTGTTCAATTTGAGTTAAGAGATCCACACATGGATTTAATTACATACTCCACCAATTTGGAGCAAACTTCTGATCCAGAGGATGTCACAACACTCATCAGCTCCAAATTTAATGGAGCACTGGAACATTTTAGTAAAAACACAAATAAAAGCATGTTTTTTGAGGTATTTTTGGATGTTTTAACTGCACTGAAAATCATGTGTCGTTACTGTGAGCGGGCTCGCTTTTCCACAAACCTCACTCTACTTTGACCTGCAAGAGAGCCTTCCTTTAGATATAATCTTCTACAGTATGGCATAAAATGTGTCTGTTTCTGAAGAATGTCCAAAGTATGGTTTCAACTTTCTGCTTCCGTAGAATCATGCAGACATGCCACTTCCAGAAAGTTCCACAGTGTAGCTTTAAGACACTCACAGCGGCATGCAGGCTGAGAAGTGACATGTTTCATTGTATAGTGCTCAGTTATTTGATTTTTTCAGCCAGAGAAGATCCGTAACACAGCTCCAGCAGCAGCAGCTCCACATGAATGTCCCTCCTGCTCTTCACCCCCCAATCACATACACACACAGTTTGTCACACACACACTTCAGTCTGTCACACACACATTTCAGTCTATCACACACAGACACAGTCTGTCCTCACTGTCCAACTGGACTCTCCATGTCACACAGTACGACTTTAATGTGCTTCACTCATTATAGATTATAGACAGATTTCACTTTTGCACACACAGTATCCCCTATGATTCTCCCAGTACTCCTACTCTATATCTTATCTTCATTAAGTCCTTGTTTAGTCTTGGTTTAGTCCTGCTTTAGTCCTGGTTTAGTTCGATTTTGGTCTTGATTTAGTCCTGGTTTAATCCTTGTTTAGTCCTGGTTTAGTTGTTGTTTAGTCCTGGTTTAGTCCTGGTGTAGTCTTTGCTTAGTTCTGCTTTAGTCCAATTTTGGTCTTGGTTTAGTTCTGGTTTAGTTGTTGTTTAGTTCTGGTTTATTGCTGGTTTAGTCCTGATTTAGTCCTGCTTAGTCCGATTTTGGTCTTGGTTTAGTCCTTGTTTATTCCTTGTTTAGTTGTTGTTTAGTACTGGTTTAGTCCGATTTTGGTCTTGGTTTAATTCTGGTTTAGTCCTGGTTTAGTCCGCTCCCTGTAAACATATTATAAAATATATGTTTTTCTATTTCTTTATTACATTAATGAATGGTTGAAAACATGAAAAACACGACTTGGTCTTAATTAGGAGGTTTGGATCATTTTCAAAGAGACCATCCCTAAACATAATCTGGAACACGTGTTTTGAACATACAAACGTGACCAGGATTTTTAGCTCTTTCGCCTTAAAGATTCACTGTGTAACTTTCTGTCCTTCACAGACACGTGATTGCTTTGTCTAGAATGTCCCGCAGTATGGCATTAAACGTATCTATATCTATTTCCATGGAGAGTTTTTTTTTTTTTTTTTTTCAGTCGTAATAGAGACACTGGAACAGAAACAGATGCCAGCAGCATGTTACAAAAGTGAATGCTATTACACAATAAGTTTCGATTTGTGTGTGTGTGTATATGTGTGTGTGCGTACATCTGTGTGTACGATTATTAATCTCATTTTAATACAACTCAGTCCTGGTTTAGTCCTTAGTTTAGATCAGTTTAGTTCAGTTCAGGCTTTGTTCTAGTTTAGACCTGGTTTAGACCTGGTTTAGTCCTGGTTTAGACCTTTTTCCGTCCTGGTTTAGTCCTGGTTTAGACCTGGTTTAGACCTGGTTTAGTCCTGTTTTAATCCTAGTTTAGACCTTTGTTAGTCCTGGTTCAGTTTTTCATTCACAGTAAACATATCAGAAAATAAAAGAGTGCTGACAGTTTGCGTTTCTATATTTTATTTAATGATTGAAAACCTGAAAAGCCCGTGTTTTTTTCTTAATGATGAGGTTTACATGATGTGGGTTTCACTTTTAACTTTACGATTCAGTGGAATTGAACCTGTGGCTGGTTTCAGCACAGTTTTTTCTGACCTCGCTAAGATAAGACAGAATAACTCCTAAATGTGTTGCTAGATCATATTTTTTTCTGGAATAGGGTAAAAAAAAAAAAATAAATATATATATATATATATATATATATATATATATATATATATATATATATATATATATATATATATATATATATATATATATATATATATATATATATATATATATATATATATATATATATATATATATATATATATATATATATATATATATATATATATATATATATATATATATATATATATATATATATATATGTATGTATGTATATGATAATCTGTGTAAGCCCGAGAAACAAAGCCAGGCACAGACAAAATCTCATTATTGTGAGTTTAAAAGCACTGAATTTAGATTTAAAATTCTGAAGAGTACTGACATTTTGTTCAACTCAGTCACAGGCAAATATTCTTTGACTTTACTTTTATACGTTTAGGCAGCAGAGCTCATTTTTCATTGTTTGAGGGCACTTTTCCTACTTGACTCTAGCAATTCATTTCATTCAAAATAAAAATGTATTAAAACCAGAAACTGCAAAGCGAAAAAAAAGTTTAGTACAATTCTGAATTTCATTTTATCTCACGGAAAATACGGCGCTGCAGTTTGGAGCTGGGAACACTGATTTCAGTTCAGTAGTTTGGAGTGATTGTTGTAAGGGATGTCCACCTGATTTCTGACCATTTTTCACCTGATTCCAGTTGAGTTTTTAAGCAGCAGAAAACTTGAGACAAACATTTTTTTGCAAGAAGAAAATATTCGTATAGGTCTCAGTAAATCTCTTCTGACTAAAACAAAACTCAGATTTCTAGTCACTTTTCACTCCCTTTTTGGCAGTGAAATTTTTTTTTTATTTCTGTCAAATTTTGGAGGAACACTGGATTTCAAATAGTAACAAAAACTCTCCTCTACTTCTGGATAATTGTGGAGACTCGTCTGAAAAGATCTGAACAAACACATAAAACCACAACTCAGAAAAAAACTCCAAAATCCATTCAAACTCAGATTTATCAAACCAAAATTTTGAATTCTCGTAATTTTTTTTTCCTGTCACATTTGCTTTGTGGAAGTGAATATTTTTCTACAAATCTTTCTATGAATCTTTTCTACAAAATGTATAGGCTGCATTTGAAACTGAAAATACTGAAACTCCTCCAACAAATGATGAAGACAGCAGCTCAAAACATCTGCTGAAACACTCCGAACTTCATCTGAACCACAACTGCTCAAATCAAGTCAAACATTTTAGGCCTCAATAAAGCTATTCTCACCAAGATTATTCCGACCAAAAAAGTTATTCTAACGCTTGTCTAGTTTGCTTTTGTGGAAGTGAAGCATTTTCATATTTCAATACAATTTATGAAGATCTAGAAAAAAGCTTCTACTCCTCGAGCAGATTATTCAACATAGTCAATTGACCACATTTGAACCACAACGGCTCATATCACATTTCTGAATTCTGGTCATTTGAACTCATGTCCATTTCTCTTTTGGTAGTGAATTTATATGTTTCAAATTTCCATCCAAAATTGCACCAAAAATAAGCACAGCATGTCCTCTTGGTTTGGCTCATGATTGAAAAGTTCAAATCTCCAATGAAATTCTGTCATCACAAAAGTTATTCTTACACTTCAGTTTATGTGAAGAAAAACACTCAAATCTAAATTCTGAATTCATTTTTATCTCCTGTACATTTTCTTTTACGGAAATGAATATATTGTTTCAAATATATATGAGATATTTAAAAATACACTTTTCAAAATCACAATAATCTTACTTATCTGGCGGCTCATTGAACATATGCTCAAATGTTTCTATTTACTGAGCTTTATTTCTTTATTTCTGCAGCACAGGCCACTCAGGTGAGACTGGGCTTTTCACAGCACTCTGGGCCCCAGAGGGCCCTGTCCTACACAAGAAACTTTCACAGACACAGGGAAAACATGCAAACTCCACACACACCACACACACACACACACACACACACACACAGGCCCTGAACCGCAACAGAATCAAACCCACGACCTCCTGTCTGTGAGGCAAGAACTTTAACAACTGATTAAATAAACTTAACTCTCTTCTATTCATTCACTCACTTCATTTTAACTCCTGTCTTTGTGGAAGTGAAAATATTTTTCAAATTTCAATCAAACTGACAAAAGGAGAAAGAAAAGCACTCTTTTGTCACAGGTAATTGTACAGTTGAAAATATCTTGTAACTCGTCAAATCAAATCCTGTGAACATTAAAGTCAACTTTAAAAGTGCTACACCTGCTCACTTCATCATGTGAACTCTGTCCGTTTTCTTTTGGCAGGAAATATAGTTTTCACATTTCAGCATCAGATCAGATGTACTCATGTTACATACCAGATGAAAATATCTTGCAACTATTCCATTTAAATAATGAAATGCTCAAATTAAAATTCTGAATTCTACTCATTTGAACTGTTCATTTTCCTTTTTGGCAAATACATTTTTGACATTTCAATAAAATTTTTATACTTTTAGTAGATAACAAAAATTCCCCAGTTCAAAATATCAGACAACCAGTCCAATTAAAAGTTGAAAATGTAAACTTAATTTCATCTGAAACAGAACTAGACTCACAAATGAAACGTCCTCATCATTTAAACGCTCCTCTCATTTCTAGCAAATAATTATAAATACGAGGGAACAAATTCCTTGAAAACATTATAATTTAAATTTAGTTTGAAGCAGAACTGCTCAAATCTGACACGTCCTGCTCATTTGAAGATTCCACTGGAGTGAGTGTCCTCACCTCTGTCAGGTCGGGCAGAGAGCGCGGCCGGGGCCAGGGACACGATACTGGATGAAGGGCTCTTCTTGATGCGTTTGGATGGGAGGGCATCTGACATATCGCTCTCCTCCGTCATGGTTTCTTTTTTGGGGTACGGCGTTCTCTTGCGTCCCTGTACGCCTCTCTTCCCTACGCGCTCCAGCTCCTCTTCACTGGCGCCCATGCCTCCTTCTGGGGACTTAGTGCACGCTACCTCCTCCCTCATCACCACAAAACACTTTTTAAGTCCCAAAATTTCAGAAATTTTGAAATGCAAAATCAAAATTTTTTGTCAGAAATGTGTCAAATCCATGTGGTCAAAAATTTACTAATTTGTTTTTTGTTTTTTTGCAAATGTTCTTCTTCAGCTTCTCTCAAACATCAACAAATCCTGTGACAAGCACCTCCAGCTCTCCGTCCTTTATACAGAGTCGGGTTCGAGGGGCGTTCTGATTGGATGCAGGGGTGCAGAAAGGGGTGTGGTCAGTGGTAAAAGCAGGAAGTGAGTGATGTGAGGGCGGGTGAGGAGTGAGAGGAGCTATGGGCCAATAAAAAAACAGAAGAAAGCCTTTTTTTTCCCCTCTCTCTCCGTTTTGGAGCAGATTGGAACCAGATTTGAGGGTTGGGGGTCTGGGCTTCGTCACAGAGCGCAGTCGTTTGGGTAATGATGCCTCCTTTAATCTTAAATTGTTTGGAAATGTTCGTTTTGGAGCTAGCATCACAGCGTTCTTTTAGCGTTAGCACCTCCGGAGGACATGGAGGACCATCGGATCGCTTACGAAATCAGACGAAATCATTGCAAAAAAGAGCAAAAACATGAGGTAAAACAACTACACCAAACTGAAGAGAAGATGTTACACAAAATAGATTTTGTGGAGCTTTCCACCATGTTCTAACATTGTGTCCTCAACAAAAACCCGAAACCTGCCTGAAGAGCTTTAGACATCATCCAGGCATGTTTGAGTCATCTAGTGATCTCTACTGGGCTCTGTTTGAAACCCTTCTCTTTTTAAAATTATTATTATTGTCTTGTTTTTTGTGTTTTTGTTTGTATGAGTAAGGTACATTACAAACATAAGCATATGTATATTTTCATGTTTGGGATGTTCTGGTGCTCAACTGGAGGATGAAGTTTTAAAAATTTATCGCCTTACGCCTTACTCTTTACGTCATATTTACAGACAGTAGGTCGGCCTAATGGCATTTTGCATCACATTCTACCTACTAGTGATGGGTATTCCAGTTCTTTTTAGAGAACCGGCTCTTTTGGCTCGGCTCACTAAAAGCAGCTGTCTCTTTCTTTCCCAAGCGACTCTTTAGATTGTTTTGTTGCAAGCAGGACTCAAGCATGTCTAAACCAGGACTGAAAAAGGACTAAACCAGGACTAAAACAGATCTAAACCAAGTCTAAAGCAAGACTAAACCAAAACTGAACCAGGACTGAGTGTCGGGACTTGGTCTCTATCTCTCTCCGTCTCTCAAGACCAAGATTAGTCCTGGTTTATTTATTTTATGCTGAACTACAGCCAAACATGCATTTTTCTCTCCTATACACACGCAGATTTCTGAAAGTTTCGTTTTGAGCCGCTGCCGCTGTCAAACTACCACGAGTCTGCACACAGCGTGAAGAGAAAAAAAGTGAGAGAAAGAGAAAACACGGCTCCCAATAAGGAGCCGGCTCCCGTCGTTCGCTTCAAAGAGCCGGCTCTAAGAGCCGCTTCGTTCATGACTGACCCATCACTACTAGCTAGTAAAGAAACTAGCGCTATTAGCCTTTAGCCGTAAATACGTGCGCGCCGCGGTAATTAATTATATGCGCAAGTATCATCATTCACACCTCTATTCACAGCTCATTTACATATAAATGTAGGTCCAGTAACAAATATACGGCCAATGTAGTCAATTTACAGTAGGCCAATAGAAAACAGCCTGTTTATGTGTGGGAGCTACAGCAGCTAATCGCTAAACAATAATCAAAACTAGCTTCAAAGTCGACATATTTCCAACACTCACCGCTCACACAGGCTCCTCCTCACATCACAAGTCTGCACTAATAAATGTCCTTTTAATCCAGACTCAAACCGATTGTCCATAAAAAGAATATAATCTCAGTATTGCAAGTGGATCTATGTCTGCGGGTGTAAACAAACACACGTGAGTGATGTGACGTGAGTGACGTGTGTTCAGGGACAGTACGGCCACACACCCAAACAAATGACAGATAAATAGTGATGTGGAGCCACATATGAGGACATTTATCTGTAATGTAGAGAGTTTAAGATTTATAATGAGGTATAACATGCCCACGTGAAATATCGGCCAATATCAGCAAACATATCAGCCAATATGTCTCAAGGTGTCCATATCAGCCGATAATATCGGCCAAACAATATATCGGCCGGGCTCTAACATACATACATGCACATATATATTTTCATTTGTGGTTGTACAAAATAATAATGATATAATAATGATTTATATAATAAATAATGATAAAATGAATGATGGTGATGAAATAATGATAAAGAAGGCACAAATGTTTATCGTTTATGATTGTAGCAAAAATGAGAATGAAGAATGTCTGGATTTTTTTTTGTTTTCCTTTATGGTCATACAAACTAATAATAATGATAAAGAAGGTGCAAAATGTATCCTTTAAGATCATATCAAATTAAAATGTCATGTTAAAGAAAATGTTAAAGAAAAGCGTGTGTTTATTTGATTTTAATGTTGTTTTTTGAAGAGCACCAAGTCTTTACAATTAGTTGTAAGGTTCTGTCCAAGGCTCTGCCCACAAGCCTACCCCCCCCCCCCCCCCCCATGAAACATGATGATCTAAATCTGTGAAGAGTTACAGAGAATAGCTCACAGAAGTGTAAGAGCCCCTCTTTAAACATCTTCAGAGTCATTTGGCCTAGATTATATTCCTTCATTTACACACTGGGCCTAATTAGACTTTTTTCAGCATATTTTCCACCACACCTTACTTTTTTTTAATTTTTATCAAAATTATGTTAAAACTCAGAAATGTTGCGTAACAAAATACACTAAATAAATACCAATAAATCTACATGACTTAAAAGTTCATTATGGCACTTTTCTAAATCTGGCACCTGCTTGTCTTCATGTTTTGCCCGGAATGCTCCACAGTATGGCATTAAACTTCATCGTGACAGACAACGTCACCATGCCAAGTTACACTTCAGATCTGTGGAGAGGCGACCCCACTCACAGTAAGAGTTTTCTGAGCAACAAAAACACCCACAATGACAGCACTGCTTTAGATTAGGTTTAATGCCATAATGTGGAACATACTAATCAAAATAATGACATCTCCATGGAGACAAGCAGGTGGTGGACCCTCAACTAGAATGTTACATAGTGCACTTTTAAATCACTAATATAATATGTACAATTTGAATTGGAGGTTAAAATCATCTCTTTTTATTTCTGACAGTGATTTTCCAACTAAACTTTTAGAGGAAAATGTAAATAAAATGCCACTGTTAATGATTTGAATATGTGTAAACTTTTACAATATTGTTACAGTATTAGTATTCAACTAATCAGTCATCAGGCAGAATGTGGACATCCTGTTTCTCTCACCCTCCCCGTCTGACCCCTGCGTGACCCCTGTCTGACCTTTGCCCCTGGCATAGAGGTGAGAGGTGACGGATCAGGTTAGCTTCACGTTAGCTTCAGTCAGCGCTCACATGTGTTTGTTATGGAGCTGACACCAAGTCTGCAGAGAGTGAGAGCTTCAACAGCAGGACGAGCTAAACACGCCTCATTATCATTCTCATTCTGATTCTCATTCTGATTCTCATTCTGATTGTTCATCAGGATTTGTATCGTGTAGTGGAGGGTTATAATGTAGGATTATAGTGTGAGTTATACTGTAGCATTATTGAGAGAAAAAAAGAAAAATTACAGTTATACACAATTACTGATTACTGAATTACTAACATGTCTGGGATTCCAGATGTGGTAAAGTACAGAAAAATCTTCTCCAGTGAGACCAAATTTACCTCAAAATAATATTACTCAAATAGAAGTACTGGTTCAAGAAATTACTCAAGTAAAAGTAAAAAAAAAAAAAAAAAAAAAAGTCCTACTCAAGTAACAGTAACTTGAAGAGTACAATGGTAGAGTATAACATCTGATTCAAAATTTGAACTTGTAATTTGATGACAAGAACAAAATCTGTCATTTTCAAACAGACACAAAAATGAGACTAACTCAATGAAGTGAAGGAACTACAAGAAACACTAATGTTCAAATCAATTCAGATTGTCACATAAAACGTTTGTCACTTTTAGACTCACTCACAGTGGGAAGAGGAAGCATAACTTTTACTCAAGTAAGAGTACTGTTACACTGTTCAATACAGAAAGTAAGAATACTGTTACTCCAATAAAAAATATTACTGAAGTAGGAGTAAAAGAATGCTACTCAAAAGTAAATGTTAAGTCCTGCCCACCTCTGCTGGGATCAGACACACACACTTTCATATTTTCTGAAGGTGTGAGTCTGGTCACCGGTGAATTTCCCAAAGTTCAGATGGGCATGATTGACAGGTTGATAAGCCAATCAGGAACGTACACACTCTGTCCGTATCAAAACTGAAATATGACAGAGATCTGAAAAACAATCAATGAGCAAAACACTAAAGCCTGTCCATGTGAGGAGAGACGTGTGAGAGGGTGTGTCTGAAGTAAACACGTGTGATTGGACGATCGTGTGTGGTTGTGGCTGGAGACAGAGGGAGAGGAGACCAGACCATGTCTCTGTATGAACCAAAAAGTCCAGTAAAAGTGACACACTCAGACTGATGAGAAAAACTTATATTTATGTTCATGTTTTTAGTGAACTGACATTTTGCAGCTGATGATTCACTGGGGGTGGGATGCTACAGGAGGCACTGCTTTGTCTACGGATTTGTTTGGACTTGCTGTTAAACAAATCCCTCTCAAATGACATTACAGTCAAAACAAAACATTACAGCACTGGCCAACAGTTTTTCACTTTTAGTTGAAAATCAAGCTCCTGAACAGGACCATGGACACTTGTATTGATCACAGACTCCTGAAAATGCAACTGTTTTATTTGCAGACCATCTTTTTGAAACTGCTTGCTCATCATTATAAGTCACTGTGAGTAATAGTTTCCCATAATCCTCTGTGCCTCAGTGAGTCACTTTTTGACTCATCACTGACTAAACCCGAGTTTGACAAATCCTGGACTTTCTCAACAGTCGCGTTACAACACTGACAACAACATGGATTTTTCATTCACACTTTTAGATTTTCATATCAAAGGGATTTTTCCTGCCTTAAAAACATCAAAAACAGAACTGGTTCATTTGAAAGTTTGC